CTTGAAGTTTAGGTGTTTGCTTAGCGTCTTCCAGGATACCTTGAAGTTGAGGTGCTTGCTTAGGATCTTCCAGGACACCTTGAATTTGAGGTCCTTGATTAGCATCTTCCAGGGTACCTTGAATTTGAGGAGCTTACTTAGCATCTTCCAGGACACCTTGAAGTTAAGGTGCTTGCTTAGCATCTTCCAGGACACCTTGAAGTCAAGGTGCTTGCTTAGCGTCTTACAGGACACCTTGAAGTTGAGGTGCTTGCTTAGCGTGTTCCAGGACACCTTGAAGTTGAGGTGCTTGCTCAGCATCTTCCAGGACACCTTGAAGTTGAGGTGCTTGCTTAGCATCTTCCAGAACACCTTGAGGTTGAGGTGCTTGCTTAGCGTCTTCCAGGACACCTTGAAGTTGAGGTGCTTGCTTAGCATCTTCCAGGACACCTTGAAGTTGAGGTGCTTGCTTAGCATCTTCCAGGACACCTTGAAGTTGAGGTTCTTGTTTACCGTGTTGCAGGACACCTTGAAGTTGAGGTGCTTGCTTAGCATCTTCCTGGACAACTTGAAGTTGAGGTTCTTGTTTAGCGTCTTCCGGGTCACCTTGAAGTTGAGGTGCTTGCTTAGCGTCTTCCAGGTCACCTTGAAGTTGAAGTGCTTGCTTAGCATCTTCCTGGACACCTTGAAGTTGAGATTCTTGTTTAGCGTCTTCCAGGACACCTTGAATTTGAGGTTCTTGTTTACCGTCTTCCAGGACACCTTGAAGTTGAGGTGCTTGCTTAGCGTTTTCTAGGACACCTTGAAGTTGAGGTGCTTGCTTAGCATCTTCCAGGACACCTTGAAGTTGGGGTGCTTGCTTAGCATCTTCCAGGACACCTTGAAGTTGAGGTGCTTGCTTAGCATCATCAAAGGCACCTTTAAGTTGAGGAGGTTGCTCCGCGTCTCCAAAATAAGGTTGTGGAATTAATATCTTCAGTTATCATTGAAGTTTAAGTTTCTTGTGAAGAAAAGGTGTCCCTAGTTTTGATGGAGATGGACAATTTAGTTCAAAATCCTCGAATAACCGTTTTGTTCCATGGGCACGGATCACCACGTGGCCGACTTTGTTATGTGATGCTACAAGAAACTCACAGAGTTTTTATTAAACGCCAAACTCAACAGTATTCCATCTACTGGACAACAAATGTATTCTGGAGCCCACTTGGATGTTCCTGAATTAACGATGTTTTCGTCAAATGAAATATGATCGCTGAGACTGACAAGGTCTCCATGCCTTGAAAATACTTTGAAGCCCTAAGAACTTTCTGCAATCTGGAATTGGAAATTATCTGGTGACAATTTAGTACCTTGATGACAATGCACAAACTGAATTTAAAATTAATTGTAAACTAAATAACCGACGAAAACCGACGAGATTTATGCCAATGGCACAGCTTAATTTCAGAACGTGTGTTTTTCTTGAGGACTGAAACGCCTTTCGTCCCCTGACACATCTGCCAAATACTACGATGTGACTGGAGCAAGTACCAGGAGCAGAGCGGCCAATCGTACACAATAATGTCTTGTTGAGGCTACTCCTCAATGCCTTGTTCCTGTATGATGATGAAATATCTTCCATTTTGGAATGAAGACCTCACCTGTGGCGCCAGCGTTTTGGTGATCGCATCTCAAATCAAGCACCTGTCTCAGCTACATTCCAGTTGTATGATCAACGTTTTACAACAATCAAGGCCCCAGGAAAGCTTTCATAAAGTTATATACAATTGGGATCGATGACATGCATCAACCAAGTCAGCGAGCCTGAGAACCCGCTCTCGCGAGTCGCCTCTTCTCGCAACGTCAAAATATGTTCTGTTATGTTATGTAGAATGCAATGCCTGGAAATATTAATATCAGGTATATACATGAAACAAAGTATCAATATTCAGAGTTGCGTCTCTGTACGTACATCTGTCTACATACCTATCTCCTATGGAAATGATACACTGAATAATATGATACAGAATATGCTGCAGCTTCGTGTTTGTTTGTTTGTTGTTTAACGCCGCACTCAGCAATATTCCAGCTATATGACGGCGGTCTGTAAATAGCCGAATTTAGATCAGACAGTCCGGTGATTGACATCAAGAGCAACGATTTAAGAATTTTAGGATACGATGACATGCTTCAACCAAGTCAGCGAACCTAACCACACGATCCCGTCGGTCGCCTATTACGACAAGCATTGGTTGCTGAAGAGCTATTCTAACCCGGATCTTCACGGGTCCTGCAGCTTTTTGGTGGAGGTTACATGAGACTGTATGTGACAATATCACTGGGAGGTGTGCGTGTGCGTGCGTGCGTGCGTGTTTGAGAATGCGTTTTGTCCGTCCTTCACGTTGCATTTCCGGAGCATAAATCTATAGACCGTTCAATATTTCTTGACTAAACTTTGCACACACATATAGAGGCGTTTCGAACTTTATTAATTGTAATCAGCTCTTGATTCTGCGTCATATACTCTTTGGGACAAGACCCAGGCGAGTTTTTGTGGACAAGGGCTTGAGTCTTGCTCTCAATGGTTTTTGGTTTTGGTTTGGTTTGTTGTTTTACGCCGCACTCAGCAATATTCCAGCTATATGACGGCGGTCTGTAAAAATAATCAAGTTTTGACCAGACAGTCCAGTGATTGATATCATGAGCATCGATCCACGCAATTGGGATCGATGACATACATCAACCAAGTCAGCGAGCCTGACCACCCGATCCCGTTAGTCGCCTTTTACGACAAGCATAGTCGCCTTTTACGGCAAGTATGGGTTGCTGAAGACCTATTCTACCCTGGAATCTTCACGGGTCTAAACACATGGTATTGATATTGAATCATATTAAGGGTTCGATGTTGAGCATAGATATCTTACGAATACGGTTAGGTGAGGTGAAATGGGGATTAACGTCGCGTCCAAGATTATTGCACTTATATAGCGACGTGCATGCACGTGTGTGTATTTGTGTGGCTGCTTGTACTAGTCGGACTGATGCCGATTTATAGTGCTAGCACACTGAGATACCATGCCGCAGTTTAACATGAATACCCCCTTCAGACACATTTTACTGACTCCGAGCCGACCAGTCCTTGTTTAAGCCCCTTAATGCCGAGCGCCAGACTGGATAACAACAAGTACCATCTTTTTACGTCTTTTGGTAGGACGCAGCCGGGGATCGAACCCCAGACTTTCCGCTCTCCGGGCGGACGCTCTACCACTAGACCACGGAGGCGGTCCCTTACGAATATGGAAAGGGTTTTGTCGTTATTATTATTTTGAAACATTTTATGTTTGTTTACTTTACAGGTGTGAATAAGCTTTAGTACTCCCTCCTCAGTGAAACTTCCAACCTAACCCAGGGGTGACTACACAACAATGACAAAGCAAGGGAAACCGCACACTGACAAAACAGGTACACCAGGTCTCTCAATGTTTTAAAGAGCTGTCGACGAGTGGGAATTACGTGTTAGCGCCGGTCCCTACCAACATAGGGTTGTCGTAAGAAGCGATTAAATGGATAGGGTAGTTAGGCTTCGTGATAAGGTTCGTTGCATGTCATCGTTGCCAATTGCTTATAGTCGCTATATGGCTTAAAATAATGCCGATGCTATGTTAAATTTTAACTCACTCACTCATATCGATACTCATAATGTCATCACTGGATTGGGGGCGGTCGGGTAGCCCAGTGGTTAAAGCGTTCGCTCGTCACGCCAAAGACCCGGGTTCGATTCCCGACATGGGTACAATGTGTGAAGCCCATTTCCGGTGTTCCCCGCCGTGGCATTGCTGGAATATTGCTAAAAGCGGCGAAAAACCATACTCACTCACTCATCACTGGATTGTCTGGTGCGGCATTTAAAACAAGCACACACATGAACAATCTGTATTTCGCTGCTCTTACGGTGGGGTATCTGAGTGGTTCAAGCGTTCGCTCGTCACGCTGACGACCGGTTTCGATGCACTACATTGGTCCAATGTGAACATGTAAAGCCCAATTTTGTTATCCTTGACAAAAAAACCTGAAATAATTATACAACGATATTACTGGGATATTGCTGAAAGCAACGGAAGCCATACTCACGTACCATTCCTATGTTTCACAATCTCGATTCGGCTGTTCTTATCCCAGATACTGATTATTTGGTGAATTCGATAGAACCTCCGCCGGGAGAGTGGGAGATCAGTTGTTCGATCCCTAACTTTATCTCTACCTGGCAGGGGGCACGGGTGGCCCAGTCGTCTAAGGCGCCGCGATTCGCTATTCAGAGTTGCGTCCCTTCGGCACGCCAGAAACCTATGATTGTGGGTTCGAATCCCGGTTCGCCCCGATTATGTTTCTAGGTTTGTCAGCGCCATGCCCGTGCTCGTGGGTTTCACCGAAGTGGTAATCGTCTGAGACCTGCATCACTTCGGGGTTTCCTCCCACATTAAGCTGACACGCCGTGATATAACTGGAATACTGTTAAAAGCGGAAAGAGAGAGAGTCTGGTTTGGTCTTGATTATTTACAGACCGTCGTCATATAGCTGGAACATTATTGAGTGCGGCTTTAAACAACAAACAAACAAACCTGGCTTGGCACTCGGCATTAAGGGGATAAAACCCTTCCTGCAATTACCAGAAAGCAAGGATTTTAAATCAGTTACTGGCTGGTTCGGAGTCTCCACACACACACACACACACACACACACACACACACACACACACGCACACGAGCACCCACGTCGCTATATACATGATTACACATCAATACGTGATTTTAAACCTCATTTCCCCTCGCCTCGCCTCGCCTCAACTCCGATTGGCTTTGCTAGTTGGTGTTTTACTTATAACATCCTCTAACGCCAGAGCTGGGACGTATATCATACCACTGGTTCTTTATTTTCAGAAACAAGAGAAACATGGGGTCATCGAGTGGATGGCATCGTCACGTTGTTGGGATACAGTGTCGGGGAGGGAACTCTGCTCAAGTTTCCTTACCTATGCGCAAGGAATGGCGGAGGTACGGTTGGTTGGTTTGTTGTTGAACGCCGCAATCAGCAATATTCCAGCTAAATGACGGCGGTCTGTAAATAATCGAGTCTGGACCAGATGATCCAGTGATTGACATGATGAGCATCGATCAACGCAGTTGGGATCGATGACATGCATCAACCAAGTCTGACCGCCCGATCCCGTTAGTCGCCTTTTACGACAAGCATAGTCGCCTTTTACGGCAAGCATGGGTTGCTGAAGATCTATTCTAACCCGGATCTTCACGGGTCCTTACATATAAAATGTCATCTTCCCGAGGCAAGGGAGTTAACAGACTATAAAAGTTCAGAGAAAACTGGACCTTAAAGTCAGTTGATTCCCTTGTCTCGGGAAGATGCTAAAATGTATATTTACCACACAAGATAATATATGAAACCGCAATATTAATTACATTTTTCTCTACATAAGGTCACCGAACATTGACTGTGTATATCTGCTTCAAGAGAATTTGTGAAATAGCAACACCACCATTTTTTTTACAAATGTATACGCAGTCTGTTTGTCTGCAACAAATTATGCATTATATATATTAACCGATTTTGAACCTTAAAACAACATTTATCAACATTTTTATGTTTCGAACATACTTTCCACGAACCTTAGGAAACGGGCGTAAAATATCTGTTGCTGGCGTACGGATCTTAAAAAGGACATTCTTAAAAGCAGTGAAGCTTATCTACACCTCTGTAGCCTTGTCGTACGCTCACTGGGCTACAGATAAGGTTGCGATTTCGATCCTCGGGAATATATAGAAAATATTTGTCATTTAATTTTACATTTCATTACATGTTACAATCTGAACGGAAGTTATATTAATAAAATACCCAGGACATTATATAAAATCCCTGGGATATTATAACACATTATATAGCAAATATGACTTGAATATCCTGTAAAATCTGTTTATGTCCCTGTTTATGAGATTTACCCCGACTGGAGAATAATAGGATGACGTCACCGGAGGTTTATAAGTCTCAGAAATCTCTCACCGACTCTGTGTACTCTTTTCAGGAGCATTCTTGATCCCTTACCTGGTGTTTGTGGGTCTTTGTGCCGTGCCGCTGTACTTCCTGGAGGTCGTCATTGGACAATACTACCAGAAAGGGCCTGTTGAGGTGTGGAAGTTTTGTCCAGCCATGAAAGGTGATATGTACAATAAATGTATCCGTCAGAGATTTATCTAGAAGTTCATATTAAATACCCTTGGCAGGCAAATTGTGGAAAAACATTATTTTGTGGTAAATACAATTTATTTATTTATTTTTTTATTTTCATAAATTCAATACAATATGTAACGTCTCTTCCGCTTTGTTGATACTGGTGTATCAGTGCAATACCAGTGACCTCCACAAAGTCATTTTATTGGTAATAACTATATCAAAATGCTTTTGTAAATTTCACTGACATTCGGTGTGACTATCGGCATCCTGTTTGTTTGTTTGTTGTTTAACGCCGTACTCAGCAATATTACAGCTATACGACAGCGGTCTGAAAATAATCGAGTCTAGACCAGAAAATCCAGTGATTGGCATCATGAGCATCGATCCACGCAATTGGGATACTATGATATGCATCAACAAAGTCAGAGAGCCTTATCACCCGATCCCGTTAGTCGCCGCTTACGACAAGCATAGTCGCCTTTTACGGCAAGCATGGGTTGCTGAAGACCTATTCTACCCCGGATCTTCACGGGTAGATAAATCTGATTGTGCAGACATTTCCCCTACATTTGTGCTGAAGAAACAGAAGTCTCATATATCTTTTTAAGCCAATGGCAATGGAAAATACTTTTAACTGAATATACTGAATTTGATCGAGAGAAAAACCGTTGATGGAAGCAATAGAATTGCGTATAATGTTATCCGTAAGATCCGGGGTAGAATACGTCTTCAGCAACCAATGCTTGCTGTAAACGGCGACTATGCTTGTTGTTAGAGGCGACTAACGGGATCGGCATGTCAGACTCGCTGACTTGTTTGATGCATGTCATCGTATTTTAATTGCGTGGATGGATGCGCATGATGTCATTTACTTGATTGTCTGGTCCAGACGCGATTATTTACAGAGCGCCGTCATGTAGCTGGAATTGTAGCTGAAGCTTTTATTAACGTTTCGCTAACCCTAGAGTTGCGCCCCTTAACCCAGAGACGATGTTGATTGAGTGACTGAATATGGAGTTAACTCCCCTTTGTAACTCTTTTTGTGTAAAAAGATTCATTAGTGTTACGAACGAACGAAAAAACGCTGTGCTGACCTACCGAAACTTTGTAAGAAAAACGATGTTAATGTCTTGTGTAACGAATGAATGTAGGGAAGCACAGTTGTTTTTTTACGAAGCTGTGAAGCGAAGCGAGGTTTAATTGAGGCTATGAAATTTGAAAGTTTGCGATGTTTTAATATGCTTCTGTATTTCACAAAACACCTCAACATTAAAAGTTTGAACTTTGACCTTTATTCCACGTGTTTTCAATGGAAGGAAAATATTGAAAAATAACGAACATTATAGTAAAAATACCTAACTCCGGGTAATATCCATGACCTTTATTAACATTTGAAAGATATTTGAAGATTGAACTTTTGAATTTGATAACTGCAGTGCATTTCCAAAATGCACGGAAGTCAGTTACTTCACATTTATCTACTCGCTCAAATGTGTCAAGTAGATCAAGTTGATACGGCCGCTGAGATAGCAGCTTTGAAGGTTAAATTGCAATATGTGCAATAAGAGGCAGCAAAACGTGCTGAATGAGAGTGAGTGAGTGAGTGAGTTGGGATTTACGCCCCTTTTAACAGTATTCCAGTTATATCACGGCGTATCAGCTTAATCAGGGAGGAAAGACCGAAGTGATGTTTACCACTTCGGTGAAACCCACGAGCACGGGTATGGTGCTGACAAACCTAGAAACATAATCGGGGCGAACCAGGTTCGAACCCACAATCATAGGTTTCTGGCGTGCCCAAGGGACGTAACTCTGCACAGCGAATCGCGGCGCCTTAGACGACTGGGCCACCCGTGCCCCCGCTGAATTAGAGACGCTTTCTACAAAACGTGAACTTGAAATGGCCGAGGCTAGATTAGGTGTGTTAGAACAATCTGAAGATTTTGACATTAAAGAAAGCACATATGAGTATGGTAACAATTCTGTTGCTAAGGAACGTGTTGATAAATATCTGAATAGTTTAGAAAATCAGTGTGAAAGCCTTGATCAATCTGAAACAAATTTAAAAACTAGTTTCATCAGTTGAAAGTTGGTTGGTTGGTTGGTTTGCTGTTTAACGCCGCACTCAGCAATATTTCAGCTATATGACGGCGGTCTGTAAATAATCGAGTCTGGACCAGACAACCCAGTGGTTGATATCATGAGCATCGATCCACGCAATTGGGATCGATGACATGCATCAACCAAGTCAGCGAGCCTGACCACCCGATCCCGTAAGTCGCCTTTTACGACAAGCATAGTCGCCTTTTACGGCAAGCATGGGTTGCTGAAGACCTATTCTACCCCGGATCTTCACGGGTCCATCAGTTGAAAGGTTACCTACAGCAACTCTGGTTTATTGAAGCACCAGTATTTACACCAAAACAAACATGCTCAGGACAAGTTTCCATGACTGATTTATTTAAAATCTTTGCTGAACAAATGAACATTAGCAGATTGCCCCCACCTCAGCCAGGTAGGTTTGATGGAGATCCATTGACATATCCCTCATGGATTAGTGCTTTCGATATTCTCATAGAGAAGAGAAATATTCACCCTTGGGGATAACTATATGATAACTGGCACTGGACGAGAAACGGACGAATATGACCCTGTTGGTGTAAGTCATAGAATGTTGACTTACGAAGTACAAGGGAACATTTCTACGTCAATATCAATAAAGATGTACATTTCCTCATCGATTAAGGAATCTCAGTTAACACAAAGTGTTATAAGATCTCTGGAATATGATTTCCCAGAACAGGAGCGTAAAGATGGGATATCGAATGATGATACTTCTTTCCTGAAACAGATGAAAGAGGGCATAGGACAACAAGACAATGGACATTACGAAATGCCCCTTCCATTTCGAGGTAAGGTGGCACCTAAGTTGCCTAACAATATCAGTCAAGCTCAGAAACGACTGAGACAACTATAGGCTCAATTCGAGAAGAGACCATCCTTCTTCAAGGACTATCAGACTTTCATGCGAGACATGATTGATAATGGTTACGCTGAAAAATTACAAAGTGATGACTCGCGTTAACCAGCGTGGTATGTTCCACATCATGGCATGTACCGTGCATGGAAACCAGACAGGATCGATTGTAGCGCCAAGTTTCAAGGTGAATCTCTTAACGACCATCTGTCACAAGGGCCTGAACGAATGCGCTTATTGGTGTTGGGTGTAGATTACGTGAAGAGCAGTTTGCCTTCCTGTGTGACATCAAACCGATGGTTTTTTTTCCAATTTCAAGTTACAGAACCTCATAGAGACTATCTGAGAATTCTGTGGTACACAGATAGAGATTTCACTATGGAGCCGACTGAATATCGACTAAAGGTCCATCTGTTTGGTGCATCTTCCTCCCCGGGATGCGCTCATTATGGCTTGAAACAAATTCCAAATGACTTCGAATCGGAAGTTGGAGTAGAAGCTGCAGACTTTCTCAGAACAAACTTCTATGTGGATGACGGCCTAAAGCCGGTCTCGTCAGTTGCTGAAGCTGTCGAGCCTATCCAGAACACAAGGAAACTGTGCTCAAAAGTAGGCTGCATTTACACAAGTTTGTGTCGAACTCACGTGAAGTAATCACAACAGATCCTAAGGAGGATCGGTTTAAGGAACTAAAAGACTTCAGTCTAGTTCATGATGCATTACCAATCATTACCAATGGAACATTGAATCGGACGCGTTTCAGTTCAGAATTGTGCTGAACGATGTACCCCTGACTCGACGAGGAATCTTGTCAATGATCAGCTCGATCCGTGATCCCCTCGGGTTCATAGCACCCGTTGTGTTGGTTCGAAAGGAAGTTCTGCAACAGATGTGCAGAGAAGGATCAAATTGGGACGATCCCTTCCCTGATGAACTGCGATCTAACTGAGAACGTAGCGAACTGTCTCTCCTACAGTCGCTACATGTGAATCGAATTCATTTTGGAGAATTGTAAAGTGTAGAATTGCATCACTTGTCCGATGCAAGCAGCTGTGGATATGGACAATGCAGTTACATCAGACTTGTTGACCAATGCGATCAAGTGCACTGCTTCTTCGTAATTGGAAAATTACGTGACGCCCCATTGCGACAGATGGCCATTCCCAGATTAGAATTGACGGCAGCTCTTGTGTCGGTTATAATAATGCAACGTCCTAAAAGAAGAACTCCAGTCTGGAAACATTTCAGAATTCTTCTGGACGGAGAGCAAGCTGGTGCTAGGCTACATCAATAATGACTCTAAGCGCTTTTATATCTTTGTAGCTAACCATGTATCGCAGATAAGGGAGTCAACATACCCTAGTCAATGGCGATATATCCAAACTGAAAATAACCCTGCTGACGATGCGTCAAGAGGACTGTCAGCAAGACAGCTGGTAAAGTCCAAATGGTTGACAGGAACCTCATTTCTATGGGAAAAGTCAATACTAGCGATGCTTTATATGCTTCTGTAATAAGCAAAACACCAGGGCCCCGTTCCTAAAAGCGAACGTAGCGCTGCGACTGTCGTAAGCTAATGTTAAAATATGGGAGTTACGATCACCTTAGCACTGCGCTGCGACTGTCGTAAGCTAATGTTAAAATATGGGAGTTACGATCACCTTAGCGCTGCGACTGTCATAAGCTAATGTTAAAATCTGTGAGTTACGATCACCTTAGCGCTGCGACTGTCGTAAGCTAATGTTAAAATATGGGAGTTACGATCACCTTAGCGCTGCGCTGTGACTGTCTTAAGCTAATGTTATAATCTGTGAGTTACGATCACCTTAGCACTGCGACTGTCGTAAGCTAATGTTAAAATCTGTGAGTTACGATAACCTTAGCGCTGCGACTGTCTTAAGCTAATGTTAAAATCTGTGAGTTACGATCACCTTAGCACTGCGACTGTCGTAAGCTAATGTTAAAATATGGGAGTTACGATAACCTTAGCGCTGCGACTGTCGTAAGCTAATGTTAAAATCTGTGAGTTATGATCAACTTAGCGCGGCGACTGTCTTAAGCTAATGTTAAAATATGGGAGTTACGATCACCTTAGCGCTGCGACTGTCGTAAGCTAATGTTAAAATATGGGAGTTTCGATCACCTTAGCACTGCGACTGTCGTAAGCTAATGTTAAAATCTGTGAGTTACGATCACCTTAGCGCTGCGACTGTCTTAAGCTAATGTTAAAATATGGGAGTCACGATCACCTTAGCGCTGCGACTGTCGTAAGCTAATGTTAAAATATGGGAGTCACGATCACCTTAGCGCTGCGACTGTCGTAAGCTAATGTTAAAATATGGGAGTCACGATCACCTTAGCGCTGCGACTGTCGTTAGCTAATGTTAAAATATGGGAGTTACGATAAACTTAGCGCTGCGACTGTCTTAAGCTAATGTTAAAATCTGTGAGTTACGATCACCTTAGCACTGCGACTGTCGTAAGCTAATGTTAAAATATGGGAGTTACGATCACCTTAGCACTGCGACTGTCGTAAGCTAATGTTAAAATATGGGAGTTACGATCACCTTAGCGCTGCGACTGTCTTAAGCTAATGTTAAAATATGGGAGTTACGATAACCTTAGCGCTGCGACTGTCGTAAGCTAATGTTAAAATATGGGAGTTACGATCACCTTAGCGCTGCGATGTGACTGTCTTAAGCTAATGTTATAATCTGTGAGTTACGATCACCTTAGCACTGCGACTGTCGTAAGCTAATGTTAAAATATGGGACTTACGATAACCTTAGCGCTGCGACTGTCTTAAGCTAATGTTAAAATCTGTGAGTTACGATCACCTTAGCACTGCAACTGTCGTAAGCTAATGTTAAAATATGGGAGTTACGATAACCTTAGCGCTGCGACTGTCGTAAGCTAATGTTAAAATATGGGAGTTACGATCACCTTAGCGCTGCGCTGTGACTGTCTTAAGCTAATGTTATAATCTGTGAGTTACGATCACCTTAGCACTGCGACTGTCGTAAGCTAATGTTAAAATATGGGAGTTACGATAACCTTAGCGCTGCGACTGTCTTAAGCTAATGTTAAAATCTGTGAGTTACGATCACCTTAGCACTGCGACTGTCGTAAGCTAATGTTAAAATATGGGAGTTATGATAACCTTAGCGCTGCGACTGTCTTAAGCTAATGTTAAAATCTGTGAGTTACGATCAACTTAGCGCGGCGACTGTCTTAAGCTAATGTTAAAATATGGGAGTTACGATCACCTTAGCGCTGCGACTGTCGTAAGCTAATGTTAAAATATGGGAGTTACGATCACCTTAGTGCTGCGACTGTCTTAAGCTAATGTTAAAATATGGGAGTCACGATCACCTTAGCGCTGCGACTGTCGTAAGCTAATGTTAAAATATGGGAGTCACGATCACCTTAGCGCTGCGACTGTCGTAAGCTAATGTTAAAATATGGGAGTCACGATCACCTTAGCGCTGCGACTGTCGTAAGCTAATGTTAAAATATGGGAGTCACGATCACCTTAGCGCTGCGACTGTCGTAAGCTAATGTTAAAATATGGGAGTTACGATAAACTTAGCGCTGCGACTGTCGTAAGCTAATGTTAAAATCTGTGAGTTACGATCACCTTAGCACTGCGACTGTCGTAAGCTAATGTTAAAATATGGGAGTTACGATCACCTTAGCGCTGCGACTGTCGTAAGCTAATGTTAAAATATGGGAGTTACGATCACCTTAGCGCTGCGACTGTCTTAAGCTAATGTTAAAATATGGGAGTTACGATAACCTTAGCGCTGCAAATGTCGTAAGCTAATGTTAAAAAATGGGAGTTACGATAACCTTAGCACTGCGACTGTCTTAAGCTAATGTTAAAATATGGAGTTACGATCACCTTAGCGCTGCGACTGTCTTAAGCTAATGTTAAAATCTGTGAGTTATGATAACCTTAGCTCTGCGACTGTCGTAAGCTTATGTTAAAATATGGGAGTTACGATCACCTTAGCGCTGCGATCGCTTTGTGGAACGGGGCCCTGAACATTAAAAGTTTGAACTTTGATCTTTATTCCACGTGCTTTCAATGGATGGAAAATATTGAAAAATATCGAACATTTCAGGAATTTTGCTGAGTGCGGCGTTAAAGAACAAATGAAAAGCGTATAATGTATGTTACCTTAATTGTATTCAATACATGACACGTGTGTATTTTGAACAGGCCTTGGCCTGGGCACGGCGTTGGTGTCGTGGGTGTACGCCATGTACACGTCCATGTACTTCTCCTGGTATCTCTACTACTTCTTCAACTCCTTCTTCAACCCCCTGCCCTGGTCTACCTGTGGCAACCCCTGGAACACGCCCAGCTGCGTGGAGTCGACGCTGTATGGGCACCAAGGGATGAACACCACAGTGAATGGCACGGTTCCACTGCGAGCTGCCATTAACACGACACAGTCGGGTCACCTGAATGGATCCACTGCGAATGTTGCTAGTGCCTCAGAAGAATTCTGGAGGCAAGTATTTAACTATGATCTAACACATCTCTGTATAAGTAAATGTTATTTAAAACCGAAATTACAGTAACATTGTAAAGGTGCTTATTATTTCTTAAATCATGTCAGGTAAAAGTAGATATCCATAATGATCATTAACCTAAGGCATGCAGAAACAGACCCGTGAAGATCCGGAGTAGATAGGTCTTCAGGAACCAATGCCTGCCGTAGAAGGCGACTAACGGGATCGGATGGGCAGGCTAACTGACTTGGTTGATGCCTGTCATCGTATCACAATTACGTGGATCGATGCTCATGATGTCAAGCAATGGTTTTAGACTCGATTATTTACAGGCCGCCGTCATATAGCTGGTGTATGCGGCGTTGAACAACAAACAAACCAAGACCTTGTTAACAAGGAAACTCATCTGTTTCAGATATAATACACTGGACATCTCGAGTGGCCTCGATGACACAGGGTCCATTCGGTGGCCTTTGTTTGGATGTCTCACCTTCACCTATGTCACCATGTACATCATGCTGTTTAAGGGTATCCGTGTTACGGGCAAGGTAATGGCGAATTTAGGCATAGGTCAGTACATATAAAACGCCAGAGAATAACCATACTCGATTATCTAACGAACTATTGGGCGTCAAGAACAATAGCGGTGAAAATTATATGAATTGATCACTGACAAATCAGGACCCGTGAAGATCCTGTGTAGAATAGGTCTTCAGCAACCAATGTTTTTAGTAAAAGGCGAAAATGATTGTCGTAAGAGGCGACTAACGGGATCGGATGGTCAGGCTCGCTGACTTGGTTGATGCATATCATCAATTCCAATTGCGTGGATCGATGCTCATGGAATCAATTAATGGATTGTCTGGTCCAGACTCGATTACTTACAGACCGCCGCTATAAAGGTAGAATATTGCTGAGTGCGCCGTTAAACTACAAACAAACAAACAAACAAACAATATAACAATCATTTTCAGATCGTGTACGTAACCTTCATGTGCCCCGTGCTTGTGTGTGCGGTCTTCCTAATACGGGGCTCCTTGTTGCCAGGGGCGACAGATGGAATATTTTATCTCATGAGACCAGACTTTGGACAGCTAAAAAGCCCTAACGTAAGTGCCATGGCAAAGTTCGCCACATCAGCTGCTACATCATAAACTATTCATGTAGCATGTGGGAAAAATGTTCTTTCTTATGCAACCTCTGGAGGTTGTGTGGTATTGGAATGAGGGTTTAACTTCAGACATTGACATGACTCATATGAGCAATAATGTCATTACGGAGGACAGGGTAATTCCATGATCTGTTATCTTCATGTGTTGTAGATATGGATCGAGGCGTGTGGCTATGCCCTTCACTCGATGGGAACCAGTACAGGGATCGCCAACACAATTTCCAGTCACAATCAGCGAAGCAGTAACTGCTACAGGTAAGGGGAGCGGGGTATTAAAAATTCCAGAGGGCCTGTATGTTTACATTATCTGTTCCAGAAAATAATGGAAATATTAGATTCCATACACATTTTTTACACACTAAAAATAATTGTTCGCTTGACACAGGATATCCTGAAAGACGCTTTTGAAACAAATGTTCGGGTTTTTATGTTTGGAAGCAGTGATTGAAGAACTATTCTGTCTCATTGAAATACTACACACTTCGAAATCCCATTAGGACCATATTAGTATTTTGTTTTATCTCTTTTAAAAGTCGTAATTACGATAAGAAGTCGTAATTAGGACTTTTACAATGATGATGAAAATCACTGTGATATAATGACAAAGTATTAAATAGAATCTTATTATAAACTATATTTTCTCGTAGTTACAAGTTTTGAAAAGTCGTAAGTATGACTTTTCTCTTGAAATTACGACTTTGAAGAGAGAAAAAAACAAAACCAATATGGTCCTAATGGGCTTTCGTATTATACAGTCTATTAAGTTGTACCATTTGTTCTTGGGGTTTAGACGGTAACCGTTTCTTTTCTCTAAGTAAACATGTTATTGTTTACCAATTCGTGTTCCACCGCGCTTCACCATCTTGGTTTCAATGTCAGTTCTTACTCAAACATGTGTCACACGTCAGTCCTTCCTAACACATGTATTACACGTCAGTCCTTCCTAACACATGTATTACACGTCAGTTCTTCCTAACACATGTATTACACGTCAGTCCTTCCTAACACATGTATTACACGTCAGTTCTTCCTAACACATGTATTTCACGTCAGTCCTTCCTAACACATGTATTACACGTCAGTCCTTCCTAACACATGTATTACACGTCAGTCCTTCCTAACACATGTATTACACGTCAGTCCTTCCTAACACATGTATTTCACGTCAGTCCTTCCTAACACATGTATTCCACGACTTACACAATGATAACGATCTATTTCTGAATTACGATCAGAGAGGTATCATCGCCCATGTTTTTCTGGTCTATTCCATTTAAAACACATCACACGGTATACAAAGATATTGAAATAATTGTGCATCGCAATATGAGAGGTTGCATCACCTGTGTTTGGTTGCTCATGTGTGTTCCCTGACTTATACCATAATGGGGATATAAATATGAATCACGATCTGAGGGGGTTGCATCCCCTATCATTGGCTGATAAGTTCATATTAACATATGTGTTCCCCGACTTATACCATAAGGGGATATGAATATGAATCACGATCTGAGAGGTTTCATTGACTGTGTTTTTCCGGTCATTTCCTTTTTACACGTATGTTCCAAGGTGAATGTCATAATGGCAACGATAAATTATTAATATATTAATTAATATATATTAATTACGATGCATAAGAGGCATATAACTTATGTGTACATATATGCACATGTGTGGTTTTCTTGTTTTAAGAAGAATAACAACAAAAAATAAACACATTGACAGAAACACTGACGAAGGAAGCACTCTTAAATTCTTTCCTTGAAACAATGATGATATTGGGCAGAGAAATCATTATAATAAACAAAGGTTTTAAAAATCTCGCCCTAAATCTTCATTTTACATTTGTTTGCACACTGAGAAAGCTCACTTGACCCGTGAAGATCCGGGATAGAACAGGTCTTCAGCAACCCATGCTTGCTGTAAAAAGCGACTATGCTTGTCGTAAGAGGCGACTAACGGAATCGTGCGGTCAGGCTCGCTGACCTGGTTGATGCATGTCATCGTATCCCAACTGCGTGGATCGATGTTCATGATATCAATCACTGGATTATCTGGTCCAGACTCGATTATTTTCAGACCGCCGTCATATAGCTGGAATAAACAACAAAGAAACAAAGAAACGAGAAAGCGCACTGCCTAATGATGTATATTGGCGTTGCTCTCTTGAGTCATAACAGAAGTGGTCATTGAATATTGCTATTGCCAGGGTTGCGCTAATTCTATGCATCGTGGACCCTCTGATCACCATCTTCTGTGGACTGTCTATCTTCACGGTGTTGGGGCACATGGCTTACGTGACCGGGGTCGACATGGACGACTTCAAGTCATCAGGTACACCAAATTAACGCATAATAACAGAAAACTGCACATGCACGTCGTGATATTAGTGCCTTAATCTGGAACTTTAAACTCTGTTTCACCGACCATCCGCTTTGGGCATCTACATGTACATTAGTCTGATGTTGTTCTACAAATACGTTTGTCAGGTTTGTTTGTTTGTTAATAATGTAGCCCATGTACGTATAAAGAATCTCACTCTCGGGTCTTTTGTTATATTTTGTTTTATTAAAAAATCGAGGTTTGCGAGGAGTTAAACTTGTATCGCCTAGCGTTGATATATTTCATATCAAAAGACACGAGGGTGATATGTTGTTTAGCATCCCACATCATTCTTGTCAGTTTGTAAACAGTAATAAACAGGGTCTTCAGTGTATATGAACAGCTAACTAGCTTCTGTGACGGAGAGATTAGTGATGTAATGTCAGTAACCAACGAGAGATCGCGTGTTCTCACGCAAGCGATATCTCCCGTGGAAGTCAGTTTGGGATTATAAATGACTCTCTCTATAGTATGTATAATTTCAGTGTAAGATGCATACACATATGCTAATGCAACCAATTCACTTCCGCCTTCAGGTCTTAATCTGGCGTTCTCAGTGTTACCGGAAGCAGTGACTTATCTCCCTTTGTCCCAGTTGTGGTCGGTGCTGGTCTTCCTGATGATGATGACGTTGGGCCTTGATACAACGGTATATGAAGCTAGTTTATCACAATCATACTAGACTAGGGGATTCATGGTTAAAATTGGTCCTCAGCAACTTATGCTTGTCGTTCGGAGCGTGAGTGAGTGAGTGAAAATTCGTCCCACAAGCAGTGCTCAGCCACCCTTGTTTGTGTGTTGTTTAACGTCGCACTCAGCAATATTCCAGCTATATGACTGCGGTCTGTAAATAATCGAGTCTGGACCAAACAATCCAGTGATTGACATCATGAACATCGTTCTACGCCATTGGGATACGATGACATGCATCAACCTTGTCAGCGAGCCTGACCACCCGATGCCGTTAGTCGTCTCTTACGACAAGCATGGGTTGCTGAAGACCAATTCTAACCCGGGTCTTCACGAGTGGTTTCATCCTTATATAGTGTAAACCGATGTCGGTACTATTCCGACGATAATAGTACCAGTGGTACTAGTTGACACTATTGTGAGTCAGTTAATTTGGCAAAGGTAAGTGAAAGGCCATGAAAGACGTGTACTTACATGTACTTTGCTTGCTGTGAACTCGACTGACTCACACATGGGATCCCGGCTCGCCGATTGGCTGGCAGATTTTCGGGTTCTGCGACTTCCCTGGCACGGGCTGCGGCTCTCGGGAATCTTCGGCTGTACCGGCGGACATGGCCGACCACCACACTTATATCGACGAGAACAAATTATGAACTAAGGAGATGAAATGTTTTGCATCAATAAGTCAACCATAATGTACACTTGTGATGATGAATATGCGTTGTAATGATGTATGCTTTGTTATTTGTTAACGTATCATTAGACCCGTGAAGATCCGGGGTAGAATAGGTCTTCAGCAACCCATAAAAGGCGACTACGCTTGTCGTAAAGGGCGACTAACGGGATCGGGTGGTCACGCTCGCTGACTTGGTTGATGCTGTCATCGATCCCAATTGCATGGATCGATGCTCAAGATATTTATCACTGGATTGTCTGGTCCTCGACTCTTTACAGACCGCCGTCAGATAGCTGGAATATTGCTGAGTGCGGCGTTAAACAACAAACCAACCAATCCAATGTTAACGTATTAATGCAAACCATTACAAAACAAACCCTTCGTTGCAGGTACCGAGTTTAGAGATAACACAGGAGACCCTAGCTGACCAGTTCCCTTCACTGGCCAAACGGCGGTGGCTTCTCCTCCTGATCGTGTTTCTTCCTTGCTTCCTTCTAGCTCTTCCCTATACCACACAGGTAGGACGAAATAACCACGATTCCACTGTAGATACAAGGCAAATTAGCGATTGGATCTCCACACAATACTCCTGCGAAACGATGTGTGACCCCTGAAGATCCGAGGTAGAATAGGTCTTCAGAAACCCATACTTGCCGTAAAAGGCGACTATGCCTGTCGCAAGAGGCGACTAACGGGATAGTTTAACTCCCAATCTGAATAATAATATTCCTTGAACTTACAAATAAGAGTTTGTGAGGAAGTGAGTGAGTTGGGTTTTACGCCGCTTTTAACATTATTCCAGTTATATCGCGGCGTGTCAGCTTAATGTGGGAGGAAAGCCCGAAGTGATGCAGGTCTCAGACGTTTACCACTTCGGTGAAACCCACGAGCACGGGTATGGTGCTGACAAACCTAAAAACATAATCGGGGCAAACCGGGATTCGAACCCATAATCATTATTTTCTGGCGTGCCCAAGGGACGCAACTCTGCACAGCGAATCGCGGCGCCTTGGGCGGCTGAGCTACCCTTGCCCCCTCCATAAGAACTACATGATATCATTATTAATCATGTGATATTTGCAGCTTATTCTCTGATCTTCCATCATAAACATTTTCATTGGTTTTAAAACACGTCTCTTGTTTACATGGTCTCGCTGCAGAGTGGCATCTACGTCCTGACTCTCGTAGACTGGTACTCCTCGGTGCCGCCTGTGATGCTGTTTGGGGTGGTGGAGTGTATAGTGCTGGCCTGGGTGTTTGGTAAATATGTTCGTCATAGCATGGGTATTCGGCAAGAAGGTAGGTCCCGAGCAACCAATGCTTGCCGTAAAAGGCGACTATGCTTGTCGTAAGAGGCGACTAACGGGATCGGGTGGTCAGGCTCGCTGACTTGGTTGATGCATGTCATCAATCCCAATTGTATTCATTTGATTGATTTCATGATACCAATCACTGGATTGTCTGGTCCAGACTCGATTATTTACAGACCCCCGTCATATAGCTGGAATATTGCTGAGTGCGGCGTTAAACAACAAACCAACCAACCAACCAACCCAAGAAATGTTTGTCGTATTAGGCGACTAAATGGATAAGGTGGTCCGTGTCGGTGACTTGGTGGATTGGACGTCAGAGTTCCCAATTGCGTAGATCGATGCTCATGATGTCCATCACTGGATTGTCTTATTATGTACCGAGCGCCGTCATCTACCCGAGATATTGCTGAGTGCGGCGCTAAACAACAAACACAACACGTGCCATCGCGCAGCATTTGGCTTTCCAAATTCTTGGTCTCCGACAGCCTGATCTTATCGTAAGAGGAGAATAAATGGATCTGGTGGTCAGGCACGCAGTTATTTAATAATTTAAAAATTAGTCAAATAATTGTGTCTAGGACATATAAACCTATGGTTGATATTATCAGCAGCGCCCTACGCCGTACGATGTCGCGCGATCAACCTAGTCACACAGTCTGATGGGCCCGTGAAGATCCGGGGTAGAATAGGTGTTCAGCAACCCATGTTTGTCTCCCACCGTGAAGATCCGGGGTAGAATAGGTCTTCAGCAACCCATGCTTGCCGTAAAAGGCGACTATGCTTGTCGACTAATAAGATCGGGGGTCAGGGTTGCTGACTTGGTTGATGCATATCATCGTATCCCAGGGCGGTCGGGTAGCCTAGTGGTTAAAGCGTATGCTCGTCACGACGAAGACCCGGGTTCGATTCTCGATGTGGGTAAAATATGTGTAGCCCATTTCTGGTGCCCCCGCTGATATTGCTGGAATATTGCTAAAAGCGGCGTAAAACCCTACTCACTCACTTATCGTTTTCAACTGCGTGGATCCGATGATCATGATGTCAATCACTGTACTGTGTGGTCCACATTCGATTATTTAAAGACCGCCGTCATACAGCTTGAATACGGCGTTAAACAACAAACAAACAAGCACACCAAGTCTGATCATCCGATCCATGCGACAAGCATAGTTTGTTGGGGGCCTATTCCAACCCGGAAAATGAGAACCTTCAAGTTTCTGAACAATAGCAGAAAAAGAAAACGATTGAAAGCATCTGTGAATAACAAGACGTTTACTTTACAGGTGTATGGAGACTGGACAAGTGTACGATGGAGATGTATGGACAGACCGTCCCAAGGTGGCTGGCTTTCCTCATGAAATACATCACACCAGGACTTCTCATGGTAGGACGTTCAGCCATGTTTAATCTTGAGTGAGTGAGTGAGTGAGTGAGTGAGTGAGTGAGTGAGTGAGTGAGCGAGCGAGCGAGGATAAACCTCATAACGTCGCTTTCAGTTTGTCAGTTGGTCTCATGATCACGGTGGTGTGGCAGGAAATGTCTTAGATACCAACTGAAACCCACGAGCCAGAATTCTGCCACCCTTAAGGTACACAACTCCCTTATTATTATTATTATTATTATTATTATTATTGAAGCTCTTCAGCAACAAATGCTTGTCGTAAGAGGCGACTAACGTGATCGGGCGGTAAGGCTCGCTGACTTGGTTGATGCTTGTCATCGTATCCCAATTGCGAAGATCGATGCTCATGATGTCAATCACTGGATTGTCTGACCCATACTCGATTATTTCCAGCCGCCGTCATATAGCTGGAATATCGCTGAGTGCGGCGTTAAACAACAAACAAACAAAATTCTTATCTTAAAATTATTGCATGTTCACATGCCACAGTTGTACGTACATGTATGTATTCACTATTTCCAGATTATTTTTGTGTACGCCTTCTACGAGTACCGTCCTCCAAAATATGGTGACTACTTCTATCCTGAATGGGCAACTGTGATTGGCTGGCTTATATCTCTGTTCATGATTGTACCAACGCCTTGCTGGATGGTGTACTGTGTATGGAAGTCGGAAGGGGACACATTTAAACAGGTAACTGAAGCTGATTGCACTGGTCCTGAGTACATGGAGACGATGTACGATGGAGATGTATGGACAGAGTGGCTGGCTTTCCTCATGAAATACATCACATCAGTTTGGGCGGTTGGTTTGTTGTTTAACGCCGCACTCAGCAATATTCCGGCTATATGACGGCGGTCTGTAAATAATCACGTCTGGTCCAGACAATCCGGTGATTAATATCATCAGCATCGATCCACGCAATTGCGATCGATGACATGCATCAACCAAGTCAGCGAGTCTGACCACCCGATCCCGTTAGTCGCCTCTTACGACAAGCATAGTCGCCTTTTACGGCAAGCATGGGTTGCTGAAGACCTATTCTACACCGGAATCTTCACGGGTCAGATCACACCAGGACTACTCATGGTAGGACGTTCAACCATGTATAATGTGAGTGAGTGAGTGAGTGAGTGAGTGAGTGAGTGAGTAGATTTTGTTTGTGATGTTAACTCAAAATAAGACATTTTGCTTACAAGTAGATTAGAGACACAAACCTCAGTCCTGCAAACCTATATCAAAACATACATGTGTTATAATATAACAGTGTACCCTATTTCACCCAAAACAGATAAGCAGGACATGGTGCCCTTTTCGGGAACACCTGGTGTCATATTGGATGTTCATAATCCTTTTATAAACTCGTAATTTCACCTATGCTCTTTTACGACCAATGGAATACATTTCGACAAATAATCTAGACTGGTTATTCCCAGGCTTCGACGTTCAAAATTAATAAATTTTAATTAATATCAAGTTCTCATTTAATAAATAAAAAAGTACTCTGAATTGTTTATTCTTTCCCCAGAAATTGGTGAACGCATTCATTCCGCAAGATGTACCATCGGATATACCAATGGAAAACAGACGTGAAGAGCAAGAAGCACTCAACGTAGCCATATAATCGACAGTTCCATGTCAACCCATCCTCTATAATCCAGTGTGATATATCTCAATTCTGTAATAATCAATATCCTGGACCCATTCGCTACCATAACTTCGTTTAGCAAGGGACGGCACTATACCTCTTATTGGTAACTTCGTTTAGCAAGTGACGGCACTATACCTCTTATTGGTAACTTCGTTCAGCAAGTGACGGCACTATACCTCTTATTGGTAACTTCGTTTAGCAAGTGACGGCACTATACCTCTTATTGGTAACTTCGTTTAGCAAGTGACGGCACTATACCTCTTATTGGTAACTTCGTTTAGCAAGTGACGGCACTATACCTCTTATTGGTAACTTCGTTCAGCAAGTGACGGCACTATACCTCTTATTGGTAACTTCGTTTAGCAAGTGACGGCACTATACCTCTTATTGGTAACTTCGTTTAGCAAGTGACGGCACTATACCTCTTATTGGTAACTTCGTTCAGCAAGTGACGGCACTATACCTCTTATTGGTAACTTCGTTTAGCAAGTGACGGCACTATACCTCTTATTGGTAACTTCGTTTAGCAAGTGACGGCACTATACCTCTTATTGGTAACTTCGTTTAGCAAGTGACAGCACTATACCTCTTATTGGTAACTTCGTTCAGCAAGTGACAGCACTATACCTCTTATTGGTAACTTCGTTTAGCAAGTGACGGCACTATACCTCTTATTGGTAACTTCGTTTAGCAAGTGACGGCACTATACCTCTTATTGGTAACTTCGTTCAGAATGCCTCTCGGTCATGCGTGTAATTTCATTGGGCGGCTATTTTTAGCAACGCCTCTTACTCTGACACATAACGAAGTGAATTGGCGAAAGGGTTCAGGAGATTGATCGTAATAGATTTCAAATTTATTAGCGTCATTATTGAATGGTCACCTAGGTATGTCGGGGAGCAAACCATGAACATATGCTAACTCGTAAATGCGAAAAAAAATTGAATGAGTGAGTGAGTTTATGCTTTACGTCACATCGGCAATATTTCAGCTATATCGTGACGAGAAATTATTCATTTTTAATATATATGTTTAAACTTAATAAAAACCAAAATTACTAGAATATCACAGATTAATATTTAAAACTAGCATACAACTATAGAAAGGATATCACTATAAGCAACGGTACAATATAAACACGGGCTACAGATCGCCAGTAGCTGAAGGTAGATCACCATGCTAGTGTCCATGGGGACTTACAATACTTCTGCCACCTGCATGGACCCCAGCCGGATTTACATTATCCCTTCAGCTGTTGGCGATTATTGACAAGTTTAGCCAAAGTTAAACGAACATAAATACTACGAATAAAAACGTGGCTGAAATAAATATACTTTGAGAGACGTGGTCTTACATATCCTCTCAGGGGGACAATAATTTTACACTACTTTAACCCCCTTCGAGGATATAGCCACTAACAATCTCAGTTATTGATTTATTCAACCAATTATAAAAGGAATTTATTTATTTACAAAACATGACAATCAAAATTTATGAATTAAGTCAATTTCTTTTAAAAAGCAAGAATTAAATGAGAACTTACCGGATAAAAAAAATCCTTGAGCGATGAAACTTTGAAATATTTATCCCTTGTGATGGAAAAATCAATGCAGTCAAGCAGGACATCCTTGACCGTGATTCTTTCATCACAAGGGATACAAAATGGAGGATCCTCACCTTTCAATAAATATTCATGAGTTAACGAGAATGACCAATACGACATCGTCTTAATACGACCTCTTCAAATCTGGACTGACAACCCAAGTAGTTATAACCGATATTTGCTTTTATTGCATGTAATTTATAATTTTTATAGCCACTTGGGTGTCCCACTTCTTCTGCATTAGATCGCTGATGTAACATCTAATGACAGGTTTATAATCAATGTATGGTATAAGAAGTGGTGTCACAGATTTGTTGAGTGCTGCTTTTGCAGCAGCATCAGACAGTGTATTACCAACAATTCCAACATGGCTCGGTAACCAACAAAAGACGATGTCGTATTGGCCAGTAGCAAGTTTGTTATGTAGTTCTATGATGTCGAGTAAAATTGGATGCTGACACGAGGTATTTTTAAAAGCCTGAAGACAGGAGAGAGAGTCTGAAAATAGTATGAATCCCTAATGTTTAGTCATTTTATCAATATATTCTAAAGCAGTTAAAATAGCCTTTGATTCAACTGTGAAAATGGATGAGTTGAGTCGGGTTGATAAAGTTCTGGATCAAATGATATCTCAGCGGGGGAATAAATCTCTTATACCCCGCCACGAGCACTACAAGCTGCACGTGCATTTCTGAGAGGAAGAATAAATCTTTTATACCCCGCTTCAAAGCGAAAAGCTGCGCACTTTTCCTGACTCAAAGGAATTAACATGACAGCGCAAGTTTACCTCAGCTAAATCGAACTTCTGCTTTCTATCAATTTGGAATTTATTTGTAGTATTTTACATATAATAATCAAGTTTTAAAATTTGCGTATGAACAACAAATATATTGTCTTATGTTTTGTCACTGAAAACGATATCAGCCATTCCAGAATGTTCTTTTGTTCAGGTTTCAATTTTTTTATCGAGAATCTGTCAAAATATGTTTCGAAGCGTAGTCGCCAATTTGAAATTAGTGCCGTAAGGCACGAGAAAGCTGCCTTCTGATTGGCTAATGTCGACTTGTTGTCAGTCATTCCATTGGTCGGTCAAAGTTCGCGCAAGGTCGGTCTGACGTGACCCGTAATTGGGTGTCCTCAGATCTTTGTTTAGCGGGAGCGAGAACTAAGATCTGATTTTAATGAGATTGGTTGTAAGAGGCGACTAACGGGATCGGGTGGTCAGGCTTGCTGACTAAGTTGATGCATGTCATCGTATCCCAATTGTGTGGATTGATGCTCATAATATCAACCACTGTATTGTCTGGTCCAGACTCGATTATTAGCTCACGGGGTCCATCCGTCGTCCGTACGTCAACATTTTTTTCAAACGACTTCTTCTGAACCAGTCATTAGAAATTAACGAAATGTGACTGGAAGCATCCCAAGGTGGTGGGGATTTAAATTTGTGCAAATGGTGGGGCTGATCCCCAAGGGGCTGAGGGGCGGGCCAAATAGGGGTTATTTGGCTATATTGCTTTAAACGACTTCTTCTCTGGAACTAAGAGATAGATATCAACCATATTTGGTAGGAAGCATTTTCCGGTGGTGACCATTTATAATTGTACAAATGGTTGGGTTGACCCCCTAAGGGACTGAGGCCCGGGGCCAATTAAGGGTAATTGGCTATATTGCTTAATATGACTTCTTTTCTGGAACTAAGAGATAGATATCAACCATATTAAATTTTGGTTGGAAGCATTTCCCGGATGTGACGATTCAAAGTTATACAAATGGAGGGGCTGAGGGGCGTGGCCGAAAGGAGTTTATAACTTGGACACCGTTAAGATCCCCACCCTATAACCGTATGTACAATTGCTGAGTATAATGAGAGGATTGCACATATGCTACCAGGACTGGCCCTTCTCTTCATCTGTCCGGCACTCCGAAAGGAGTTACAACCTTGACCATAACATGCAAACCGATATCATCCCCACCCTATAATAAATAGATACATTGTATACATTTGTTTGTTTTGAAGAGAATAATCCATTTGTGCCAATAGGATGGGGTCAAGCTTTGCCTCTGGAAACGCAGATCCCGGATCATAACATGGAAACGGTTCAGATCGTTATGCAACATTTGTATCTAGAGAAGACACACTCATGCTGTCAGATTTGCCATCCACCCCTTATAAATGCTGACAGAGTCAAAATTACGAAATATTTGCAGTATTATATACATGTACAATGCAAATGTTTATTTTGTCATGATTGCGTAAATATCCAGATGAGCGATACAGGCCCTATGGGCCTCTTGTTTACAGACCGCCGTCATTTAGCTGGAATATTGCTAAGTGCGGCGTTAAAGAACAGACAAACGTCCAATCATTTACTCCTATACAATACCCTATTGCCTACAGAACTGAGGACGCTCAGCCAGTCAGAGTGGAATATTCTAAATTATCTGGAGTGAGCGAAAAATTCAGAAAGGCATATTTGATTTCCATATCTCGAACATGAATATAATCGAAGCATTCCGAATGCAAAAATATAAAGCTAGGCTCTTGACATGTACAGATCGAGCGCCGTGGGATCTACATCCAAACGGGCGTACTATTTAACGAGGGTGTATTTGTGTTCTGCGTCGGCTTTCTTTTGCTACGATCGAAATTTCCGAATCGAGGCATTAAAATTGTTTGGGTAGTTTGATGTTCAACGCCGCACGCAGCAATATTCCAGCTACATGACGGCGATCTGTAAATAATCGAGTCAGGACCAGACATTCCAGTCATTAATATCATGAGCATCCATCCACGCAATTGGAATCGATGACATGCATCAACCAAGTCAGCGAGCCTGACCACCCGATCCCGTTAGTCACCTTTTGCGACAAGCATAGTCGCCTTTTACGGCAAGCATGGGTTACCGAAGACCTATTCTACCCCGGAATCTTCACGAGTCTCATTTACTTTGGGTATATGCTTTGGGTATTCATGTCTACAAACATAATTGATCGACATTCCGATTAAGACCATCCAGATTTTACAAATAACGTTTCCTTAAGCAAAATAAAAATGTGGACCATGTACACTTTAAAACATTTCTATATTTTTGTTTAACGCCTCACTCTGGAATATTCCAACCACATGACCTGTAAATATTATGGGCGTCGGTCCATGTCGTCGTGTATAAAATTGGGGGCACGGGTAGCCCAGTCGTCTAAGGCGCCGCGATTCGCTGTGCAGAGTTGCGCCCCTTTGGCACGCCAGAAACCTATGATTGTGGGTTTTGAATCCCGGTTCTCCCAGATTATGTTTCTAGGTTTGTCAGCACCATACCCGTGCTCGTGGGTTTCACCGAAGTGGTAAACGTCTGAGACCTGCATCACTTCGGGCTTTCCTCCCACATTAAGCTGACACGCCGCGATATAACTAGAATACTGTTAAAAGCGGCGTTAAACCCAACTCACTCACTCACTCACTCGTGTATAATGATAAGTAACCAATCACGTCACCGACCCTGATCACCCGATTCCTTTAGTCGTCTCTAACGTCCAGCATAGGAGTGAGTGAGTGAATATGGTTTTACGCCGCTTTTAGCAATATTCCAGCAATATCACGGCGGGGGACACCAGAAATGGGCTTCACACATTGTACCCATGACGGGAATCGAACCAGGGTCTTCGGCGTGACGAGCGAACGCTTTAACCACTAGGCTACCCGACCGCCCCTTCCAGCATAGGATGGATTATGCTAGGAAAAGATACCATGCCGCAGTTTAACATGAATACCCCACTCAGACACAGTATACTGACTCCGAGCCGACCAGTCCTTGTTTTAGCCCCTTAATGGCGAGCGCCAGACAGGGTAACAACAAGTACCATCTTTTAACGTCTTTTGGTATGACGCGGCCGGGGATCGAACCCCGCTCTCCGGGCGGACGCTCTACCACTAGACCACGGAGGCGGTCTGTCAATCTGAGTGAAACTCGTGGAGATCCGGGGTAGAATAGGTCTTCAGCAACCCATGTTTACAGTAAATGGCGACTATGCTTGTCGTAAGAGGCGACTTGGTTGATGCATGTCATCGTATCCCAATTGCGTGGATCGATGCTCATGATGTCAATCACAGACCGCCGTCATATAGTTGGAATATTGCTGAGTGCGGCGTTAAACAACAAACAAACAAACAAACCATACAAATTGACTGTTAGTGTTAGTAGTAGTAGTAGAAGTTGAATCGAAGTGAGCGAATGTATCATTACTCCTATTTTCCCTGCCATTGCACAAAGAATTTGCTTCAAACGCGGGAGTGCCGTGAAGATTCCGGGTCAGAATGGGTCTTAAAAACCAATGCTTGTCATATGTAATACGTAAACCGGGTTTTCCTGATTAACGAGGTCTCCGGAGTATTGAGGTTACACCTTATTGTAAAGATTCATTCGGACAGCCTTTGTAATTCGATATATTGTTAAAATGTTGTCACCTCATGTTATATCAAGGTATCTCGTAAGATACATAGTATTTCTAGCTCGTTGGAACTGCTTACCGTGAATTCGATTCCCGATTACGTTCCCGACTTTAACAGCAGCAAAATTGGGTCGTGAAAATCCGGGTCAGGACTGGTTTTCAGCAACCCATGCTTGTCGTTAGAGGCGACGAACGGGATCGGTTGGTCCAGATCCCTGACATGGTTGATGCATGTCATCGTAATCCTATTGCGTAGATCGTTGCTCATGATGTCAACCACTGGATTGTCTGGTCCAGACTCGATTATTTACAGACCGCCGTCGTATATCTGGAATAATGATGCGTGCGGCGTTAAACAACTAACATAAAAATAAACTATGGGAAAAAAATGTTTGGTATGGTGAGTAAAAGCATTAATCACAAGGCTACACGTCACACTTGATATACATGTATATGTGAATGAGTGCGTTTGACTTATGGCCGCTTTGAACGGTATTTGTTCTATCAAGGTGTTTGGACATCATGCTCGAATAGATGCAGATCTTAGAAATTTACCAATTAAGTGAAAATCACAAGCACGGTTATGATTCTGACAAATCCGGATACATAATCAGGCGAACCACGGATTCGAACCTACGTTCATTAAACCCTGGCACGCACAGGGGACGCAACTCTGAACAGCGAATTGCGGCGCCTTGTAATTAGGCGTCTGAACCATATGTGTCCCTGATATATAATGGAATACTGAAGCGTTACTACGTCCTTTAAAATGACAAAAAGCACACAAATACATTTCATACAAAGACATAAACGTGTTTGTACAAGTTACAAGTTGCAACGTCAGGAAACGAACAGTAACTACCGTATTTCCTCTATTAGAAGCCGTCTTACAGTACGTGACAGCCTTTAATTGACGCGGGGTCATGTGCTCTGTCCCCAAAATACTAGCAGAAGGTGGGCCTCCATTAGAGGCCTGGTGATAAATTGACACTGTTTCCTGCAAATGAACCCTTGTATGACTCTACAATTTGGGTCCAGTGAAGATCCGGGGTAGAATAGGTCTTCAGCAACCCATGCTTGCCGTAAAAGGCGACTAAGCTTGTCGTAAAAGGCGACTAACGAGATTGGGTGGTCAGGCTCGGTGATTGGTTGATGCATGTCATCGATCCCAATTGCGTGGATCGATGCTCATGTTGTCAATCACTGGAGTGTCTGGTCCAGACTCGATTATTTACAGACCGCCGTCATATAGCCGAGTGTGGCGTTAAACAACAAACCAACCAAAACTCTACAATGTGGGACTCGGTAAGGTTCTGAGTTGTTACTGCCAGCTTTAAACATAATAGACGCCGGGTCAACGGATTGCGCGAAATCGATAGACTCCAGGGCATCATCTAGACGAAATACGGTAACCAGCAGCAGTTACATCTCCAGTTACAGCAAGAGTCATCTTCTGTGAGCTGATTGGTCCGTATATGCGTAGGTACTCTGATCAAACAGTGCCTGTTTACCCGAGGTTGAACAGGTACACGCTGTATATAGACGTGAGCGTCCTTGGCTGGTTGCATGCTGACATGGATATCTCATTCTTTCTGGTTGTCTGTGCACTCCTGGCTGGCTCGGAAGGTAATATTATTCTATTTGAAATAAATATGTTTTATTTCAAATAAATTTCAATTCAAATATATATATGTTGGAATGTAGCTAAACGCGACAGCTCCTAGTTCCGGATTATCAATTTTCCGCATTGACGAATCTTTGTCTAGAAAAGTATAAACAGTATATTTTACATGTGTAAACGTTCATAACATATGTCGTACGGAAAGCGGGTTTCCCTGATTACCGATAGTCCGGAGTATTAAAGTTGGACTGTATTGTAAACATTCATTCAGTCAGCCTTCGCAATTGGATATATTGTTAAGGTGTTGTCACCTCATGTAATTTGATGGTATCTCGTAAGATACATACTATTTCTAATTCGTTGGATCGATGCTCATGATCGGGATCGGGTGGTCAGGCTCGCTGACTTGGTTGATGCATGTCATCAATCCCAATTGTGTGGATTGATGCTCATGATATCAATCACTGGATTGTCTGGTCCAGACTCGATTATTTACAGACCGCCGTCATATAGCTGGAATATTGCTGAGTGCGGCGTTAAACAACAAACAAACAAACAAACAAACAAACCTTAACCCAAGTAGTCCATTCACCCCTATGAGCACAACCCCGATTCCGGGTTATAACAGTTCCCTAGCAACCTGCAGGTCTCAGACGTTTTGGTGAAACACGTGACCACACATGAACTGACATGATGAAATCCAAGAGCTGACAAACCCAGAAACATAATCGGGGCGAACCGGGATTCGAACCCAAAGGAGAGCGAATTGCATCGTCTTGGGAGAGGGGGCTATCTAAGAGTGCGGGTGCACTTAAATAAAAAATGTCTTGGTAAATTCACATAATTAATTCAGAAAACAATTTGCGTTTGAAAGTTAAAAAGTCGTCAAAGAATTTATTTTTGTTTAAATGATATTCCCAATACTTCAGTAAAATGTTCACATGAAATGATGCCGCGTATGCTATGCCCAGATACGATATTTTACAACATATACTGACCAACAAAAGTTCCTGTGACATTCAATAAGATTCAATGCAAAGTTATGTTTTTTACAAAATCTGAAACAATTTCGGTTTGCAACAGATAAAAGACTTCTGTAAGTGTTGAAATGGTTTAATTTGCCATACTGACTCCAGAAAGTGCGTGGTTTCATAAACACATGAACATGCCAAAATGTCAATTTACAAATCAATAGCGTGTGTATCCACCACTGGTTGCGATGCAAGCAACACATCTTCGTCTCATGGAATGGACCAGGCGTCGCACAAAGTCCTGTGGGGTATCATGTTTCGAAGTTCCTGGAGTGTCTGTGGAACACGTGGTTGTTGTCGAAGGCGCCGATCCATCTCATCCCACATGTGCTCGATTGGTGAGAGTTCAGGGAAGCGAGCCGGCCAGGGGATGAAATTCACGTTGTTTTGTTGAACAAGTCGAGCAATATGAGACCGGGCGTTGTCAGGTTGAAAGATAATGCCTGGGCCCATCACGACGCAAAAACGGTGGAACAACAGGGCCGATGATTTTGTCGCGGTAGCGCTGTCCATTGAGATTTCCCTCTACCACTATCAAACGGGTGCTCTGTCTCTCTGTAATCCCACCCCATACCATAACGCTGCGCCCCCGAACCGATCTTCTTCCATGACACAATGATTGACGTAACGTTCACCTCGACGTTGGTAAAACTCGAATCCGTCCATCGCTGTGGCTGAGGTGAAAACGTGACTCGTCAGTGAATAGAACTTCACTGCATGGCCGTCCAGCGTAGACGCTGTCTGCACCACTGTCGACGTGGTGGGTGGTTTCCTGTCAAAATGGGACGTCTGGCGGGTCTTCTGGTGACAATCCGTGCACATCTGAGGCGGTGTCTTGTTCGAATCCAGTTGTCTTGTCGCATATTGGTTACGCGTGGCCTGTCACTCCGGGGATGGTCTCTGACTGCTTCGTCTGTTGTCAACGTTGCCATAAACACCAAATGGTGTTTCTGTGGCCGATAAATTGTCTTGCAACATCACGTTGATTCGATCCTGCTTTAAGCATACCAATGGCTCGCAGACTCTCATTTTCGGACAGGCGTGGCATTTCGTAATGTTGAAAAATTGCGTAATTTTGTTGTTTTTCTGAGTGGTTGTGGTCAGCACGATGCTAAACAATGCATATGGAATCCCGTAAACGCACATGTTGTTATACCCATTCTTGGGTAGTGAAATGCATGGGGCTTGCATAAAAGTCAACTTTTGCATGGAATGCATGCTATTCTGTAGCAGTTGCGTTTTTGTGACTTGATTCCATACATGCACTACAATATTGAAAACCAAACTTTATTTGTTTGAAAAATACACTAAAATATTGGTGTCACAGGAACTTTTGTTGTTGAGTATATTTTATAAAACAGGAACATTGCTGTCTGCGGCAATTACAAAGAAACAAAAACAAATTGGGTTGGTTGGTTGTTTGTTTGGTTTGTTGTTTAACGCCGCACTCAGCAGTATTCCAGCTATATGACGGCGGTCTGTAAATAATCGATTCTGGACCAGACAATCCAGTGATTAATATCATCAGCATCGATCCACGCAATTGGGATCGATGACATGCATCAACCAAGTTAGCGAGCCTGAACAATCCGAACCCGTTAGTCACCTTTTTACGACAAGCATAGTCACCTTTTACGGCAAGCATGGGTTGCTGAAGACCTATTCTACCCCGGATCTTCACGGGTCCAAATTAGGTTGAATGACAAGATAATGTTTGAGTGGCGGATGCTACCGGTAGAGCAGGACATGCTTATGCTTTTCGCGAACACCTGGTTTCATCGCTGAGTTGCTGTGATCCATTATTACGCATTTTCACCGCTATTTTGCCTTTAACGCCCAAAACCATCGAGATTGGTTACTCTCTGGAGCCATGCCTCAGTTTTATATTTATTTGCCCCCAGCAACGTCCGAGCCATGCAGGCTGTGTTCGGAGATATGTCAATGCGCAAGTGAAACGGAATGCTGGCCATGCCGGTGCATCAGCTGCCCATGTGAGTATGTTTCCGAATGCTGCACTATTATATTCAATCTCATTAAAATAAGATCTTAGTTCTTGCAACCACTAAACAAAGATCTGAGGACATCCAATTACGGGTCACGTCAGACCAAACTTTCGCGAACTTTGACCGACCAGTTGAATTACTAACAAGAAGTCGGCAATACCTATTCATTTTATTGTGGTAGTCATATTTTTGTCGTGCCGTTATACAAATCGATGTATGAACACGCCTAAAAAATAGACAGTAAATAAAAGTTGATTCTTTCCCACACTTCAGTACCAACACGACCACCCAACTTGTGTCCGTCGTTACCACAATGCGCGGCACAATCGGAACTGGATTGTAAACAGGTAGGCGGATGTAATATCTGCACATGCGTCTCTCAGCACCTTAGTAGATCAACACCGACGATTTGCCCACAACTGAAATGTCCACCTTGTGAACACGGACAAAAGATTGTTGACGGTTGCCCGACATGCGAATGCAATCCTGGGTGCCCTTTGCGGAAGTGCCTACCATGCAAGTATGGATACCAGATTAAAGATGGATGCCGGTCCTGCGAGTGCAAGCGTTCTCCTATCTGCCCTGCCATACGATGCGCCAGGCCATGTCAATACGGTCAAAGGGAAATAAATGGATGTCCGTCTTGTGAATGCAACCCTCCATCAGTTTGTCCACTCGTTAAATGTATACCGTGTGAAAATGGTTACAAGGTAATAAACGGTTGTCAGTCTTGTGAGTGCAAGGCGGAACCACAGTGCCCTGCCATTCGATGCGCCAGACACTGTCAATACGGTCAAAGGAAAATAGATGGATGTCCATCTTGTGAATGCCAGCGGGCGCCATGCCGCAAACTGAGGTGTCGTAGACGATGTCACTTTGGATATGCAAGCAACAAGAGAGGGTGTACCACCTGTCGCTGCAGGAGAGGTGAGTGTGTTGTTTATCATGCTTCACTTCCGGTCTTGATGCTTTAGTTCCGTTTGTTAAACCGTATCTGATTCACAAATCACAATTATGTTTGTTTGTTGTTTAACGCCGCACTAACCAACGGTCCAGCTATATGACTGCGGTCTGAAAAATAATCATGTCTGGACTAGACAATCAAGTGATTGACATCATGAGCATCGATCCACGTAATTGGGATACGATGACATGCATCAGCCAAGTCAGCGAGTCCGACCACCCGGGGCGGTTGGGTAGCCTAGTGGTTAAAGCGTTCGCTCGTCACGCTGAAGACCCGGGTTGGATTCCCGACAAGGGTACAATGTGTGAAGCCAATTACTTGCAGTAAAAAGCGAATATACGCTTGTCGTAAGAGGCGACTATCGTGATCGGGTGGTCAAGGCTCGCAGACTTGGTCGATGCATGTCATCAGATCCCAACTGCGTGGATCGATGCCCATGTCAGTCACTGGATTGTCTGGATTGACGTACGAACAAGCTTAAATATATAGAGTAAATACAATATTATTCTTTCCCACACTACAGTACCAACACGACCACCCAATTTGTGTCCGTCGTTACCACAATGCGCGGCACAATCGGAACTGGATTGTAAACAGGTAGGCGGATGTAATCTCTGCACATGCGTCTCTCAGCGGTGTATCCCTCGGCTGTGTCACCTTTTTCTGAGATGTCAGTTCGGAGTAGCGGAGGACAGTAATGGCTGCCCAACCTGCGGATGTAGATCAACACCTCCGACGATTTGCCCACAACTGAAATGTCCACCTTGTGAACACGGACAAAAGATGGTTGACGGTTGCCCGACATGTGAATGCAATCCTGGGTGCCCTTTGAGGAAGTGCCTACCATGCAAGTATGGATACCAGATTAAAGATCGATGCCGGTCCTGCGAGTGCAAGCGTTCTCCTATCTGTCCTTCGATACGATGCGCCCGACTGTGTCAGTACGGTCAGAGGGAAATAGATGGGTGTCCATCCTGTGAATGCAATCCTCCATCAGTTTGTCCTCTCGTTAAATGTAGACCGTGTGAAAATGGTTACAAGGTAATAAACGGTTGTCAGTCCTGTGAATGCAAGGCGGAACCACAGTGCCCTGCCATACGATGCGCCAGCCCATGTCGGTACGGTCAAAGGGAAATAGATGGGTGTCCATCCTGTGAATGCAACCCTTCATCAGTTTGTCCACTCCTTAAATGTATACCGTGTGAAAATGGTTACAAGATAATAAACGGTTGTCAGTCATGTGCGTGCAAGGCGGAACCACAGTGCCCTGCCATACGATGCGCCAGGCCATGTCAGTACGGTCAAAGGGAAATAGATGGATGTCCATCTTGTGAATGCCAGCGGGCGCCATGCCGCAAACTGAGGTGTCGTAGACGATGTCTCTTTGGATATGCAAGCAACAAGAGAGGGTGTACCACCTGTCGATGCAGGGGAGGTGAGTGTGTTGTTTATTATGCTTCATTTCCGGTCTTGTGGCATTAGTTTCGTTTGTTAAACCGTATCTGATTCACAATTCACAATTATGTTTGTTTGTTGTTTAACGCCGCACTCAGCAATGGTCCAGCTATATGAAGGCGGTCTGAAAAATAATCATGTGTGGTCCAGATAATCAAGTGATTGACATGAGCATCGATCCACGCAATTGGGATCGATGACATGCATCAACCAAGTCAGCGAGCCCGACCACCCAATCCCGTTAGTCGCCTCTTAGGACTAGCATAGTCGCCTTTTAAGGCAAGCATGGGTTGCTGAAGACCTATTCTACCCCGGACCTGCACGGGTCTCCATGTAATTGGGATACCATTGCATGCATTAACCAAGTCAGCGAGTCTGACCACCCAGGGCGGTAGCCTTTTGGTGAAAGCGTTCGCTCGTCACGTTGAAGACCAGGGTTCGATTCCCGACATGGGTACAATGCGTGAAGCCCATTTCTGGTGTCCCCCGTCGTGATATTGTTGTAGTATAAGACCAAACTCACTCACTCACTGACCATCCGATCCCGTCAGTCGCATCTTACAAGCATAGGTTGCTGAGGAACTATTCTACCCCAGATCGTCACGGGTTCAATTCACAATTAAACACCTTCAGTTTTCTTTTTTTAAATATTTTAGCAATATTTACAAAAATATTTCGAATTCGTTACAACCACAAACGGGAATTAAGAGTCAAAAGTCAAAGTCAAGTGAATGGGTAGAAATGATTTCTTAGTCTATAGAGAACGAATTATTTTCAGTTTTTCGGTGATCCTTAGAAGAGTAACACTGATCCATTGGGGAACGGTGAGGTAGCTTAATGTCACAGCGTTCGTTCGTCACGCAGAAGAATCGGATATAGAATAGGGGAAGTAGTTTGAGTCTGATATAAAAGAACCGGATATAGAATAGGGGGAGTAGTTTGAGTCTGATATAAAAGAATCGGATATAGAATAGGGGGAGTAGTTTGAGTCTGATATAAAAGAACCGGATATAGAATAGGGGGAGTAGTTTGAGTCTGATATAAAAGAATCGGATATAGAATAGGGGGAGTAGTTTGAGTCTGATATAAAAGAATCGGATATAGAATAGGGGGAGTAGTTTGAGTCTGATATAAAAGAATCGGATATAGAATAGGGGAAGTAGTTTGAGTCTGATATAAAAGAATCGGATATAGAATAGGGGAAGTAGTTTGAGTCTGATATAAAAGAATTGGATATAGAATAGGGGGAGTAGTTTGAGTCTGATATAAAAGAATCGGATATAGAAAAGGGGGAGTAGTTTGAGTCTGATATAAAAGAATCGGATATAGAATAGGGGAAGTAGTTTGAGTCTGATATCAAAGAATAGGATATAGAATAGGGGGAGTAGTTTGAGCCTGATACTCACGAATTGGATATAGAATAGGGGGAGTAGTTTGAGTCTGATATCAAAGAATTGGATATAGAATAGGGGGAGCAGTTTAAGTCTGATCTCAAAGAATTGGATATAGAATAGGGGGAGTAGTTTGAGTCTGATACTCAAGAATCGGATATAGAATAGGGGGAGTAAATGAGCCTGATATTAAAGAATCGGATATAGAATACGGGAAGAAGTATGAGCCTGATACTCAAGAATTGGATGTAGGACACAGGGGGTATTCTGAAAATAAATTACAGGTTAAGAAAAGTATAGTGATTTAAGATAGGCACCTTGAGTTTTTCCAAATACAGTTAAAATAAAACTGTAAAATAATAACTGGTACTAAAACATCTGACACAATATTTGGGATCGTTCTTAACCTGACATTTCAGAATAGAAAATGAGGAAGAGGGGTTGAAAACCTTTATAATACAAGATATGTTTGATCTTTTCTGTAATCATTTTATTTCAAAACAAGGGGAGCCATTTGGGCCCACGAGGGGAGTTAGCTGAGCCTAGAGGGAGTGTTTTGAGCCTGGCTAGGGTAGTCATGTGAGCCTAGGCCCATATGACTCTAGAATCAAATTTAGGGGGAGTCGCTTGAGCCTGCTACACCGGGTTTCAACTCATCACATGTGTACAATGTCTGAAGCCCATTTCTGACGTGCCCTGCTGTGACATTGCTGACTGATAAAATCGGCGTAAAACCACCAATTTCCACCCTTCCAACCACCCACCCACTCATGTATGTTGAAGGGGTTTTGACACTCACTCACTCACTCGGAACAAAATGATCGATGTTTTAGAATAGTTAGCTTCCATTCCTCCCGTAACAAATCTAAGCAAAACACAAATTCCCATGCATATAGAACTGAGCAGATTACGGACACATTTTTAAAACGTATCTTATTTTTTCCAGGCTTCAGGGGCTAGGGGATCCAGCGAGAACAGTGACAGAAGGGCGATCCTGCTTTTGAAATTAAAATCGTGTGACATCAAGTATTGATTATATTTTTTTGTAGAACGAATATGGCGTGTTGTGACAGTTTTCTAAGGAAGTGAAAAGCAGTTGCTGGCTTCTGTGAAAACTGGTCCCAAGTGTTCCGTGATTGTAAGATTATTTGTTTGTGTGTTGATTAACACCGCACACAGCAATATTCCAGCTATATGACGGCGGTCTGTAAATAGTCGAGTCTGGACCAGGCCATCCAATGGTGAACACGAGCATCGATCCACAAAATTGGGATACGATGATATGCAGGAAACCAAGTCGCCGGGTCTGACCACCCGATCCCCTTAGTCGCCTCTTACTACGACCATGCGTTGCTGGGGGCAAATTATGACCCGGGTATTCACGTGTGTCCGTGTGTGTGTGTGTGTGTGTGTGTGTGGAGGGACAGGTACAGAGAACTAGTGTGGCTCGGTGACTTGGTTGCTTGCGTGTCACCGGTGCTCAAGCTGCTACCCGTGAAGATCCGGGTTAGAATAGGTCTTCAGCAACCCATGCTTGCCGTAAAAGGCGACTATGCTTGTCGTAAGAGGCGACTATGCTTGTCGTAAGAGGCGACTAATGGGATCGGGTGGTCAGGCTCGCTGACTTGGTTGATGCATGTCATCGATCCCAATTGCGTGGATCGATGCTCATGTCAATCACTGGATTATCTGGTCCAGACTCAATTATTTACAGACCGCCGTCATATAGCTGGAATATTGCTGGGTGCGGCGTAAAACAACAAACCAAACCAAATCAAGCTGCAAGTCACTGGTTCGTCTGGTCCAACCTCGAGTATTTATTGTTTGTTGTTGGACGCCTCTCTGCAATATTCCAGCTATGTGACGGCGGTCTGTAAATTATTGAGTATTGACCAGACAATCCTGTGATTGACATCATGTGCATCGATCCACGCAAGGCAACAAGCCTGACCACACAACCCCGTTAGTCGCCTCTTACGGCAAGCACAGTAGGAACCTCCGCCCTGACTGTACGGTATGGAGGTAACCTACATAATTACGTAAACGGAGTGGGACAGAAGGATCATTGTGTATTCTTACCACTCTGAGCAAACACCGCTGATATTTACTGTGCGTGACGAGGGATTGCAGGGTAAGTGTAAGTAAATATAAAACGTCAAAGCCCAAGTTATGTGAATGGATCACTGAAAGTCAGAGATGACACAAGGTGTTGCGAACAAGGTTTCGAATGTCCTACCCTATCGGTTGGTTGGTTGGTTGGATGGTTTATTGTTTAACGCCGCACTCAGCCATATTCCAGCTATATGACGGCGGTCTGTAAATAATCGAGTCTGGACCAGACAATCCAGTAATTAATATCATGCGCATCGATCCACGCAATTGGGATCGATGACATGCATCAACCAATTCAGCGAGCCTGACCACCCGATCCCGTTAGTCGCCTTTTACGACAAGCATGGGTTGCTGAAGACCTATTCTACCCCAGATCTTCACGGCATTCCACGCAATTGGGATCGATGACATGCATCAACCAAGTCAGTAAGCCTGACCACCCAATCCCGTTATAATTAGTCGCCTTTTACGACAAGCATAGTCGCCTTTTACGGCAAGCATGGGTTGCTGAAGACCTATTCCAACCCGGATCTTCATGAGCCTCGATCCACGCAATTAGGATCGATGACATGCATCAACCAAGTCAGCGAGCCTGACCACCCGATCCCGTTAGTCGCCTTTTACGACAAGCATAGTCACCTTTTACGGCAAGCATATATGCTCGTATGTACCGATTCCCGGACCAAGTGCAAAGGCGACTATTCTTGTCGTAAGAGGCGACTAACGGGATCGAGTGGTCAGGCATGTCATCGAATCCCAGTTGCGTGGATCGATGTTCATGATATCACGGGATTGTCTGGTCAAGACTAGATTATTTTGAGTCCGCCGTCATATAGCTGGAATATTGCTAAAGAAACAAACAAGCATTCCGAGATTCCTGCATCTGTTTAAAATGATACCCTACCACGCATTTACAGGGTGTATGTGATAGCACATTAAAATTCATAAATGTGTATTGTGCCTATCCTGGGTCTGCCCATGATGCCCGAGTTTTCAAAAACATTCATTTGGCACAACAACTATCTGAGGATCCCCTACCAGAGGAATTCGACTTAAGTTGGGACTCGGCTTAGGGTATTTCAATATCACTACTCGTGCCCTTTGAACCCGTGAAGATCCGGTGTAGAATAGGTCTTCAGCAACCCATGCTTGCCGTAAAAGGCGACTATGCTTGTCGTGAAAGGCGACTAACGGGATCGGGCGGAGCGTATCCTGCCGCACTGGTGGCACCCGTCACAAACACTTGCAAAGGCAAGTCAATTCTTTACCTGATAGAAACATTGGAACATATACTACAAGTCAAAATAGGGAATTGCATCGGACATCATTTTTGTCAATGATGCGTCAAATTTAGAAATGAGCTTCATATGTCTACCGTAAAAGGGGCGGTCGGGTAGCCTAGTGGGTCGTCACACCGAAGACCCGGGTTCGATTCCCGACATGGGTACAATGTGTGAAGCCCATTTCTGGTGTTCCCCGCCGTGATGTTGCTGGAATATTGCTAAAAGCGGCGTAAAACCATACTCACTCAATCTACGATAAAACTATTGGAAAGCTTTACTGAGGCCTTGAATGTTGTAACCTTGATCAAACAGTCGTATGAGGCTCTTTGAAATCTTTGTGGATACAGCATGCTCGATTGTATCTAAAAAATTGCGAAATGTAAATACCAAAGGCTGGCGCTGATGGAATATTGCCATCTTCCCGAGGCAAGGGAGTTAACTGACTTTAAAAGTCCAGTTTCCACCCTTGCCAAATTAGGTTGGAATTTCGGGGCCCGATCGTAGCGCCACCAGTGGCTATTACGAGTTATGTCCCTCATGTATCTTGTTGATATTTTGATGTGGTTAGGCTCGCTGACATGGTTGATGCATATCATCGATCCCAATTGCCTGAATCGATGCTCATTATATTAATCACTGGATTGTCTGGGCCAAGATTTGATTACTTACAGACCTCCGCCATATAGCTGGAATATTAGTGAGTGCGGCGTTAAACAGCACACAAACAAACAAAGATAAAAACGCAAGAGGTATTCACAGAAATATATTTATGTATAGAAGACTGATTTTACTAGATAATGAACAAGACCAACCAACAAAGGGGTTGTCAATCGTCAAACCAGTTTTTAGAAAAAAGCGTGGTTTCAATGTACCCAACCATCAAGTACAGGTGACATTACAGGTGGGGTTCCAGATGATGTAACCATGGGCCCCAGAGCTACAAGAAGCAGGAACAACAATTTATCAATGACGGACAACATCATCTCACGCCCATGACGTATCCTCAATAACCGAACATCATTATCATACCTTCCGTATTGCCTTGCTGCAGATTAGAACAAACTCTACGAAATATTCAAATATTGATCTGATGAGGAAGTGATGGCCTGATCTCATCAGTTGCCTCTACATACACGTGTAACTTCCCCCCAGATGGTGTCCAGGTGCTGCTCGCCTTGGTGGATATAAAACCATCGGGATGTCCAGCTTGCCACAGTTTCAGTACGACAAAGGAAAGTGGGAATCCAGGGCACCTGTTCAAGTATCTGACGGGTTCTTCTTGACGTTGATCACCACGACCACGATGATGTCTTCATCCTTGCTGATGCTGGCTCTTGGAATGATGGTCTGCAGCATCGACGCTGTTAGCACATGTGAGTATTGTTTGGTTAGAATACACTTTCTTCAGTATGTGTTGTTTTAATGTTTGGCTACATTTGTCAGCCATCGCCAACAACTGAAGGGATGAAGTAAATCCTGCTGGGTGAGTGAGTGAGTATGGTTTTACGCCGCGTTTAGCAATATTCCAGCAATATCACGGCGGGGGACACCAGAGTGAGTGAGTGAGTATGGTTTTACGCCGTTTTTAGCAATATTCCAGGAATATCACGGCGGGGGACACTAGAAATGGGCTTCACACATTGTACCCATGTCGGGAATCGAACCTGGGTCTTCGGCGTGACGAGCGAACGCTTTAACCACTAGGCTACCCGACCGCCCCTGGGGTCCATGCAGGTAGCAAAAGTACTGTAAGTCCCGATGGTCCCCAGTGTTGTGATCTACCTTCGGTTGGTGGCGATCTATAGCCCGGTTGTGTATTGTGTTTTGTTGAATGCTAATATTTTATACATTCTCTCAAACTAGTTTTACGTAAAATTTGTGATATTTTAGTTATTATTCTGTCCTTTTCCCGACATAAGTTTATACTGTTTGTTTAAAGATATATTGACACGTGAAGATTCCGGGGTAGATTAGGTCTTCAGCAACCCATGCTTGCCGTAAAAGGCGACCATGCTTGTCGTAAGAGGCGACTAACGGGATCGGGTGGTCAGGCTCGCTGACTTGGTTGAAGCATGTCATCGTTTACCATGATGTAAATCACTAGATTGTCTGATCCAGACTCGATTATTTATGTAGACCGCTGTCATACATTGCTGTGGCGTTAAACAACAAACAAATAAACAAACAAAATTGTCAAATTGTGTCTCGTCACGATATGACTGAAGTATTGCCGATATTGCTGTGTGGAATATTGCTAGAAGCGGTGTAAAACCACTCTCACTCACTCACTCTCTATAGTCAGTATAAGTACCTGACTGACCCATGTTGTTGATGTTACAGCCAAGTGCCCTAGTCTGTCCGGCTGTGGTAATTGCGTTTGGGGCTACAAGAGCATCAACGGTTGTCCGACATGTCAGTGCTTGGGTATGTATTTTTCGTATTTTCTGAGTTGTTTTTTAGCCAAAATCTATTCTTCCTACATGTACATTATTCCATCAGTCTCTACACAACACGTTAGTCTCTGGATTCAGAAGTTTCTTGTCGTTCCGTGTCGTTTCCTACCCTCTAAACAACATAGTCTATTTATATAAGTATGTCTTTGGACATTTTTCATGATTGGTTGTTGGTTGGTTTATTGTTTAACGCCGCACTCAGCAATATTCCAGCTATATATAAATAATCGAGTCTGGACCAGACAATCCAGTGATTGACATCATGAGCATCGATCCACGCAATTTGGATACGATGACAGGCATCAACCAAGTCAGCGAGTCGGACCAACCGATCCCGTTTAGTCGCTTCTTACGACAAGATAGACGCCTGATTTTTCATTAACAGAATGCCATTTAGAAAGTGGTCAAATGTAACAAATGTTCTACTTGGGATAACGCTTTCTTAACAAAGTACAGATTCTCGTACCATGGGAGCCGTACTGAGTGCGTAAGATCGCTGACTTTATGTGCTGGTACCTCACTCTGGCAGCGTGGGTTCGAATCCCGGTCGGTACTCGACCCAAAATAGTACGAGAATCTGTACTTTACCAAGAAAGCGTTATCCGAAATATAACATTTGTTAGATTTTTCATGTTTAGTTACGGGGTAAAGTGGGGATGTGGTTGGGATTTTGTGCCCGAAAATACTGAGAAAATATACTGAAGCTAAAAAATACCCGGGGGCACGGGTGGCCCAGTCGTCTAAGGCGCCGCGATTCGCTGTGCTGAGTTGCATTTCTTGGGCACGCCAGAAACCTATGATTGTGGGTTCGAATCCCGGTTCGCCCCAATTATGTTTCTAGGTTTGTCAGCACCATACCCGTGCTCGTGGGTTTCACCGAAGTGGTAAACGTCTGAGACCTGCATCACTTCGGGCTTCCTCCCACATTAAGCTGACACGCCGTGATATAACTGGAATACTGTTAAAAGCGGCGTTAAACCCAACTCACTCACACACTCACTCAAAAATACCCAAAATATATATTGTCCGAAGAAAATGTGCTGTGGGATAATATATCGTTTCATTTCAATTGTTTATTCGTGAAGATCCGCACTCAGCAATATTCCAGCTATATGGCGGAGATCTATACATAATCGAGTCTGGACCAGACAATCCAGTGATTGACATTATGAGCATCGATCCATGTAATTGGGATACGATTACATGCATCAACCAAGTCACGCATCAACCTATTCTACCCTGGATCTTCACGGGTCCACGGGTAAGATATGTCACAGATATCACATTCCTTCACTGACCCGTGAAGATCCGGGGTAGAAAAGGCCTTCAGCAATCCATGCTTGCCGTAAAAGGCGACTATGCTTGTCGTAACGGAGCGACTAACGGGATCGGGTAGTCAGGCTCGCTGACTTGGTTGATGCATGTCATCGATCGCAATTGCGTGGATCGATGTTCATGATGTAAATCACTGGATTGTCTGGTCCAGACTCGATTATTTACAGACCACCGTCATAAAGCTGGAATACTGCTGAGTGCGGCGTTGAACAACAAACCAACCAACCAACCAACCAACCAACCTTCACGTTTCTGTATTTTTAGACCCTCCCTGTGCACCGTTGACGACCAACTGCAAACCATCAGAGACCCTCCGGTGCAAGGTAGAGCGGGGATGTGCTGTGTGCAGCTGTGTGGCTAAACCTTGTGTCAAGATAAACTGCATCAACCCCTGTCCAAATGGTCGCAAATTTGTAAATGGTTGTGAAACGTGCACATGTAAACCAAAGGTCTGTCCCAAACTTACTTGTGGGACCCCCTGTCCAAATGGCCGCCAAATTATAGCAGGATGTGAAACGTGCACCTGTAAACCAAAGGTCTGTCCCAAACTTACTTGTGGGACCCCCTGTCCAAATGGCCGCCAAATTATAGCAGGATGTGAAACGTGCACCTGTAAACCAAAGGTCTGTCCCAAACTTACTTGTGGGACCCCCTGTCCAAATGGCCGCCAAATTATAGCAGGATGTGAAACGTGCACCTGTAAACCAAAGGTCTGTCCCAAACTTACTTGTGGGACCCCCTGTCCAAATGGCCGCCAAATTATAGCAGGATGTGAAACGTGCACCTGTAAACCAAAGGTTTGTCCCAAACTTACTTGTGGGACCCCCTGTCCAAATGGCCGCCAAATTATAGCAGGATGTGAAACGTGCACCTGTAAACCAAAGGTTTGTCCCAAACTTACTTGTGGGACCCCCTGTCCAAATGGCCGCCAAATTATAGCAGGATGTGAAACGTGCACCTGTAAACCAAAGGTCTGTCCCAAACTTACTTGTGGGACCCCCTGTCCAAATGGCCGCCAAATTATAGCAGGATGTGAAACGTGCACCTGTAAACCAAAGGTTTGTCCCAAACTTACTTGTGGGACCCCCTGTCCAAATGGCCGCCAAATTATAGCAGGATGTGAAACGTGCACCTGTAAACCAAAGGTTTGTCCCAAACTTACTTGTGGGACCCCCTGTCCAAATGGCCGCCAAATTATAGCAGGATGTGAAACTTGCACCTGTAAACCAAAGGTCTGTCCCAAACTAACTTGTGGAAACCCCTGTCCAAATGGCCGCCAAATTATAGCAGGATGTGAAACGTGCACCTGTAAACCAAAGGTTTGTCCCAAACTTACTTGTGGGACCCCCTGTCCAAATGGCCGCCAAATTATAGCAGGATGTGAAACTTGCACCTGTAAACCAAAGGTCTGTCCCAAACTAACTTGTGGAAACCCCTGTCCAAATGGCCGCCAAATTATAGCAGGATGTGAAACGTGCACCTGTAAACCTAAGGTTTGTCCCAAACTTACTTGTGGAAACCCCTGCCCAAATGGCCGCCAAATAGTTAGCGGCTGTGAAACTTGCACCTGTAAACCAAAGGTCTGTCCCAAACTTACTTGTGGAAACCCCTGCCCAAATGGCCGCCAAATAGTTAGCGGCTGTGAAACTTGCACTTGTAAACCAAAGGTTTGTCCCAAACTTACTTGTGGGACCCCCTGTCCAAATGGCCGCCAAATTATAGCAGGATGTGAAACTTGCACCTGTAAACCAAAGGTATGTCCAAAGGTCCTATGTGCCAAAATGTGCCCAACTGGTTTCCTAACTATTGACGGGTGCCAGACGTGCAAATGTAAGCCAAAGATTTGCCCAAAGCGTCTTTGCCCTGTCCCCTGTGCTACAGGTCGACTGACGGTAAACGGATGCGAGACATGCGCATGTAAACCTGAACCATGTCCTGTAATTAAATGCTCTACTATTTGCCATTATGGTAGAAAATTGTCATCGAAAGGATGTCCCACGTGCGAGTGTAACAAACTCATGTGTCCATCCACAAAATGCTTCAACGAATGTCCCAACGGCAGGGAGGTCGTTAAGGGATGTCTCACTTGTAAATGTAGACCTAAAATATGCCCATCGCTGACATGTAAAAGGCATTGTCGCTATGGTAGAAAGATTGTGAACGGATGTCAAACATGTATTTGTAAGTCTAAGGCTTGTCCAAAACTGAATTGCCCACTATCTTGTGTTAATGGATCTAAGATAGTTAATGGTTGCAGGACTTGTGACTGCAAACCAAAGGCTTGTCAACCTGTTCGGTGTCGCAACTACTGTCGATACGGCCGCCAAGTCGTAAATGGCTGCCCGACGTGTCGTTGTTTACGACGCCGTCGCTGCCTGTTCCGTTGGTTCTGTCGAAGAGGGTAAAGCAGAAACGTGTGTCCGTGAAACGGGGAAACCTCTACAATCAGGACCTCCTTAATCTGTAAACTTTACTATCAAGACGATTCTTGCTAAACTGTCGTTTGAAAGAAAGTATACACCCTTGTTTGATGCTTGCTAAAAATGAAACGAAGAAGAAATGGTATTTCGTTGGTGATGTTATTTGATACGAGTATCATAGTTATGTGTTGGATCTTAAGTGTTTTGGTGAGTGTTTTAAGTCTAGTGTCGTTTGTAACATTTTGGTCAAATCCAAATTTCAAGTGTATGCTTTCTTTTGTCAAGCAGTTTAGTTACAAAATGATGACTCTATTTTACCAGAGACCATTATTTACCGTCTCTGATGTTACAGGGGCGGTCGGGTAGCCTAGTGGTTAAAGCTTTCGCTCGTCACGCCGAAGACCCGGGTTCGATTCCCGACATGGGTACAATGTGTGAAGCCCATTTCTGGGGTCCCCCGCCGTGATATTGCTGGAAAATTGCTAAAAGCGGCGTAAAACCATATTCACTCACACTCTGATGTTACCACATATTTTCGGCAATGTGATTCAGATATACAGATAGAACAGCGTCCGGATTGACGAGGGTCCCGTATCAGTGGACATTTGTTTTAGTCTGCGTTTCAAGTTACTTTTGTAATTTGAAACATAGAATATATTCTCAGTTGTAATAATGTCAATGAAATTTGTTCAATAAAGATTCTAATGCGGCGAACATAATTGTGTTTATCATGTTTGACCCTCACCCGTCTCAACGAGGAGTTGTGTAGCTGACGTAATTGGCCGAGTTGACTTGAATGCTTCTGTACGAAGCTATTTATAGTACATACTGAATGAGTCTGCCGCGTGCTGTTCTGCCGTTAGGAAAGGAGTGTTAAGAGCAAGGGAAACGGAAGATCAGTTTATGATCATGACGCCTTCATGCAGTTATACATAATGGAGGTTAGCGAGGTGTGCATTTATTTACATCGTTGTTGTCACTGTTGAAGTGTACTCGGCGCGCCATGTAGCTGAGGCTTGTCAGTTCTCGGAAATAATCCCGGACACTCCAGTGATACTGCGAAATACGACACACCGACCAAATAAATATTGTGTTAGATATATGTAACTTGTAGCGTATTAGCTCACTTGCTTCTCCATTGTGAATATACCAGTGAAGATCCGGGTTAAATTCAGTCTTCAGCAACCAATGCTTGTGAGATGCGACTAGCGGGATCGGGTTGTCTAGTTTGCTGACCTGGTTGATGCATATCATCGCATCCCAACTGCGTGAGACCCGAGAAGATCCAGGGTAGAATGCTAATGATGTCAATCACTGGATTGTCTGGTCTAGAGGCGATTATTTATACAGACTGCCGTCATAAAGTTGGAATATTGCTGAGTGTGGCGTTAAACAACAAACAAAACAGAAAAACACACTGATAGTATTGCTAATATCATCTACATTCATTGAAACAGCTATACTCGAGCTAACTTACCGTTATAGGAAGAAGAAGAAGTAGAAGTAGTTTATTTAAGTGTCACATATCGCTATACACGATGACACAGGCATAAAACCATAAAATATGCAAGCAATATCCGGCCATACAGGCCTATGAGACACTAAGTTCATTAAAATATCAAAGAATAAGGATATATAATATTGAGTATATAATGCTCGCCCATAGTTATGTTATGATATACAGTATATATATATATATATATATATATATATATATATATATATATACGTTAACTGATAAGCGTTTTCTTTCTGCATTGAAACATCACTACCGCCACCGCGGCTGGGGATTTCTGTAGAGGCATGCACTGCATCAGAAAAATTAACTGATCAACGTTTCAGAAATGTGGGAAGAGTGGGCCCAGTAGAGTAGCTTCCTTCCAAAGGTTATATCGAATATCAGAGTAAAATGAACATTTTGTCAGAAAGTAAACTTCGTCTTCTATTACTTTAGAGTTGTAATATCTACACTGTCTTTCCTCGAGGGGAGTGGGCGGACGTCTGAAACGACCTAGTTCAGTCTCTAGTGGCAATGTACCGCAACGTAACTTCGCTAGTGTTCTGCATTGATTCCGGGCGAAGTTCGACTGGACGTATTGCTCGGCGTTGAGGTCATATTTAAAGAGCCTGTATGTCCGTCGCTTGTTTCCTTTAAAAAGTCTTCGGTCATTCCACAGGTCAGTTGTCCACTTCTCGTAATATCTACGCAACCTTTATTTTTCAGGGCCTCTGCCGGTATCAAGTCTGGTCCTGCAGATTTACCACGCTTTGCTCTGGTAATAGCAGTTTCAACATCAGCTCGTGTGATTGTATAATCTGAAATACTTGTATCAAAGTTAAGTTCAGGGACAACAGAGTTACTGATTAGTTCTTCGTCCAGCTATATGACGGCGGTCTGTAAATAATCGAGTCTGGACCAGACAATCCAGCGATTAATATCATGAGCATCGACCCACGCAATTGATATTCATGACATGCATCAACCAAGTCAGCGAGCCTGACCACCCGATCCCGTTTGTCGCCTCTTACGACAAGCATAGTCACCTTTTAAGGGTTGCATGGGTTACATTTCATTTCATCTCTCATAATTTGTTCTCGTCGATAAAAGGATGAAACCACTCGTGAAGAACCGGGATAGAATTGGTCAGCTAGTCTGACCACTCGATCCCGTACGTAGCCTCTTACGACAAGCATAGTCGCCTTTTACGGCAAGCATGGGTTGCTGAAGACCTATTCTTTCCCGGAATCTTCACGCCGTTCTCGGAATTAAAAAACGAGCTATAACTTGACTTCCAGGTTTCCAAAACTACTTGTCTATCAGATGATATGCCACCCTCACAGTTAACTTCCCATGGGATCGAACTTTGTGTCATTAGCCACACTAATCTTGCCTATCGTTTTCCAAAAGTCACGAGAATCCGAGTTACCATTCTTATCAAGCAAACGCTGTTGCTCCGATACCTGATAGTTACGCTTATACTTACGTAAAGTCTTGTCAAATAACTTCCTAGAGGACCCATGAAGATTCCGGGGTAGAATAGGTCTTCAGCAACCCATGCTTGTCGTAAAAGGCGACTAATGGGATCGGATGGTCAGGCTCGCTGACTTCGTTGATGCATGGCATCGATCCCAGTTGCGTGGATCGATGCTCATGATATCAATCACTGGATTGTCTTGTCCAGACTCGATTATTTACAGACCGCCGTCATATAGCTGGAATATTGCTGAGTGCGGCGTTAAACAACAAATCCTAGCAGAAGTCATGCTTGAGTTCTCGTTTCTTTATTGACGACTTGCACTTTAACCACTGGCGCTAGGCATCACAAGAACTGTCCCACAAACACTGAAGCTGATCTGACCAGGACGGCTTAGCACACGGTTGACTCTTAGCACTGCGTGGTCTTCTGTAACTCGAACAACCTGCCACATTGTCCAGTTCGGCGTGCATAAAGCTTTCAAAGTCACTAAAAGCTGCGTTCACGTCATTATAAAACTAGAACTGATACGAAACATTTAGAAATGCCCTCCACATGTCCACCATAAAATTATTTGAAATCTTTACTGATACACTGAATGTGGTAACCTTAATCAAGCAACTTCTGGGCATGACTCTATTTGTTTCTTCCGCTTAGCGTTATTCCCTTTAACCCTGCAACTAAAATTTATAGAAGACCGCCTCCCTGGTCTAGTGGTAGAGCGTCCGCCCGGAGAGCGGAAGGTCCGGGGTTCGATCCCCGACCGCGTCATACCAAAAGACGTTAAAAGATGGTACTTGTTGTTACCCTGTCTGGCGCTCGGCATTAAGGGGCTAAAACAAGGACTGGTCGGCTCGGAGTCAGTATACTGTGTCTGAGTGGGGTATTCATGTTAAACTGCTGCATGGTATCTCAGTGAGCTAGCACTATAAATCGGCATCAGTCCGGACTAGTACAAGCAGCAACACAAACACACACACGTACATGGACGTCGCTATATAAGTGCAATAATCTTGGACTCGACGTTAAACCCCATTTCACCTCACCTCGCATTATAAAACTAACATGCAGCTAATATGCATATTCATGCCTGTGACCCCCCGAAGCGTAATAACACGGCGTGTCCCATTAATATTCGGGGTCAAAAGTCAGGTCGAGGTGTTTATCAGCGTATTTCCTTCAGGTGCGTTTCAGTGTCCGGTTTGTAAGATGGCAATAACAGTATGTTGACAAATCGTTTATAAAATGCCATTGGCGGATTCTTATCCAATCGGGTTTCATCATCAGATATTAGAACGTAGATAAGCCGACGTGCGTACATCGAATGGTATTATTTGTTGTTAGACAGTAACATGGACCGCCTTTCTCTCTGTCTGCTCCTCGGCCTGACCCTCGTCGTGTGTTCTGCGGTAACACACGTTCAAGGTAGGCCAACGACAATGTTTAAGTTTATTTGTTTGTTGTTTAACGCCGCACTTAGCAATATTTCAGCTATATGACGGCGGTCTGTAAATATTCGAGTCTGGAACAGACAATCCAGTGATTGATATCATGAGCATCGATCCGTCGGTTCGCCGTTTCAATTTCTAGGTTTGTCAGCACCATAGACGTTTTCGTGGGTTTCGCCAAAGTGGAAAACGTCTTAGACTTGCATCACTTACTGGACTTGATATCACTGAAATACTGTTCAATGCGGTATATACCCAGCTCAAGTACTCATTCTCGAATCAGTTATACAGTGAATTTAAGAAATAAACAACGAGTGTGATTTGTTTATGGTATGTTTGTGTTTTATTGTAGATAAATAACTTCCAGTCGTTTATTTTCAAATATGAGTTATCAACATTGTGTACAGCCTCTTTAAGGATGGTAATAAAATGTACCAGCTTTAAAAATATTTACCCGTATTTAAATATTGATGACTCCCTGAATACAATACGACCTCGACAATGTTGGATTAGTCCATTTTATGATCATGGGGTAAGTTTGATATTTCTCCCGGATAATCACACATTTTTCACGGCGATTATCTGTATCCCTCTCCCAATACTGATTGTCAAATCTCTCCAGCTTAAGGGTACGATCGTTCGGCCTTTGCGATTATCTACGTTGCCAGGCTACGTCTAAGGGGAACAACTCACTAGAATAACGTCGACCAATTTACAACGTCATCAAGTTGCGAGCGCATGTTCAAATCTCCCGAAATGACGTCGTGATAGAACAATGTTTTTTTCGTGAAATATACCATACTTCGTTCTTCATTGTTCATTGCAATTTATCGCGTAGCTATCTTAGATATCTACTTATAGTTACCACCAGTCATATATTACTGAACACAGTTAGTATTTTTTCATACGAAACAGGCTCCACAGGAGGTATCACCTGAGACATATCGCTGCAATGTTTTGAAGACGATTGTGACATCATCTGTTGCCATGACATCACAATCAAAAGACTTTACTAATCTCTCTGCTACGTACTGAAGCTGGTTACCTGTATTTTTCACATTCAGGACGCTTGTTATTACTGTTTACAACCTGATGTTGGAAGAACGGTTTTGGATTATAAACAGAATCTTACTCTCATGATAGGGGGCACGGGTGGCCGAGTCGTCGTAGGCGTCGTGATTCGCTGTGCAGAGTTTCGTCCCTTGGGCACTCCCGAAACCCATGATTGTGGATTCGAATCCCTGTTCGCCCCGATTATGTTTCTAGGTTTGTCAACACCATACCCGTGCTCGTATGAGACCTGTATCACTTCGGCCTTTCCTCCCACATTAAGCAGAAACGCCGCGAATAACTGGAATACTGTTAAAAGCGGCGTTAAACCCAACTCACTCACTCACTATACTCGAGATAGTACATTGAACTCTGGTTTTATCAGCGATTTCATTATGGAAGGGGTTTCGTTGCTATCGAGTAATTATTAAGATCAATCTTTTCTTCTGACTTCACAGGCAAGTCGATGTCGCCTCCATGGGAATGTGGCCCTCCCTGTGACATAGCCTGCAAATGTGGCCTGCAGACTGACCGCAGGGGATGTCTAACATGTACATGCAAACCTTGCGGTAAGTTCTTAGTGATCGAATATGGTTTTACGCCGCTCTTAGTAATATTTCGATCAATACAACGGAGGACACCAGAAATGGGCTTCCCACATTGTTACCATGTGGGAAATCGAACCCGGGCCTTCGGATTGATGAGTGAGTGAGTATGGTTTTACGCCGCTTTGAGCAAAATTCCAGCAATATCAGGGCGGGGGACTCCAGAAATGGGCTTCAAACATTTTAAGTTATTATCTCAAAACAAACCAATATGACAGAATTGTCAATGGTCTGTGTGGTGTACGTGCTACACGTGCAGTCCGTGTAACATGTGATTGTGAGTTGAGCACAAAGTACAAGACGTGATATTATCGGGAGTTATATTAAATCTTCTCTGACGTGATGTCTTGACATGCATGGATCGCACTCGACAATATTCCAGCAATGTGACGGCGGTCTGTAAATAATCGAGTCTGGACCAGACAATCCATTTTGAAATCATGAGCATCAATCAACGCAATTGGGATACGATGACATGCACCAACCAAGTCAGCGAGCCTGACCACCCGATCCCGTTAGTCGCCTCTTGCGACAAGCATAGTCGCCTTTACGGCAAGCATGGGTTGCTGAAGACCTAGTCTACCCTGGATCTTCACGGGTCCACGGGTCAGATATGTCACAGATGTGATGACCGTACTAAAATTGACTTAAAAACAATGTGTTCCCCTTTCTTACCATCTCCTTCTCTCTTCAGATGTGCCAACTGCGTGCCCGGAAATACGATGTCTACAAGAGAAAAAGTGTCGTTTCGGATACAAAACGATAAACGGGTGCCCCACGTGTGAATGTAACCGACGTGAGTAGATAACCTGCAGGGCAAAAGGGAGTTTACACTTGAAAATTGTATTTTACTAAAACATTACCATCGTTACCAAAACGTTACTTGGTGGGAACAGTGCCTGAAACACTGCAAACTTAAGGTTCAAAACACAAGTCAGTCTGTAATACCAGTATCAAATACATCACCATCGAATAACCATTTCTTGTTTGTTTAATTTTTAACCGCCATCAAACATGGGTGAGATCTTTCTTTTGCACGGCCGTTTACTTATTGATTTGATTATTTGTCTCAATTATTTTAGTGAATTATTTATATATTCAATAAGTATACAATAAAACAAGGTAACTTAATGAACGACCAGTGAAGATCCGCGTTAGAATAGGTCTTCAGCAACCCATGCTTGTCGTAAAAGGCGACTATGCTTGTCGTAAGAGGCGACTAACGGGATCGAGTGGTCAGGCTCGCTGACTTGGTTGATACATGTCATCGTATCCCAAATGCGTGGATCGATGCTCATGATGTCAATCACTGGATTGCCTGGTCCAGACTCGATTATTTTACAGACCGCCGTCATATAGCTGAGTGCGGCGTTAAACAACAAACAAACAAACACTTCTTTAGGGGAGGGCACATGCATGTTCTCATTCATTAGTAAGTGTTAGCAGGTGCCAGAGTTTTACCAATTGCTTGATGTAAACGACATCCGGGCATCTGGTACGCAGTAACTACCGGAAATCTGAAAATACATGCTATTTATCTCTTTCATAAACTCAACTGTCGCTTTACTTCGCCAGCCTACAACTGCCCCTACTATCGTCCGTGTCAAAAGTGGCTGAACTGCCCTGCTGGACTCGTCGAGATCAACGGATGCCCAACATGCATGTGCAAACCTACAATGAAAAGTAAGAATGGCCGCACGGTCACAAATCAGGAAATTTAATGATGTTTTTATGCCATCTCTATAATTGATTGATTGGTTTGATGTTTAACGCCGCTCTCAGCAATCTTCCAGTTATATGACGGCGTCATCTCTATAGTGACGGGCGACACCGCAACGGTGAGGTGAAGTGAAATTGGGTTTAACGTCGCGTCCAAGATCGTTGAACTTTTACAGCGACGTGCATGCACGTGTGCGTGTGTGCGTGTGTGCGTGTGTGCGTGTGTGTGTGCATGTGCGTGCGTGCGTGCGTGCGTGCGTGTGTGTCTGCTAGTACTAGTGCGGACTGAAGCCGATCTATAGTGCTAGCTCACTGAGATACCATGCAGCACTTTAACATGAATACCCCACTCAGACACAGTATACTGCTCCGAGCCGACCAGTCCTTGTTTTAGCCCCTTAATTCCGAGCGCCAGACAGGGTAACAACAAGTACCATTGTTTAACGTCTTTTGGTATGACACTGTTTAACGTCTTTTGGTATGACGCGGCCGGGGATCGAACCCCGAACCTTCCGCTCTCCGGGCTACCACTAGACCACGGAGGCGGTGAAACCTGAAACGGGCTTTACACATTTGGAGCCAATGTATGTCTAGTTGTGATATCATAGTACGTGGCCACATTTTATTAGTGGGGAGTGTATAACGATAACGATAACAATCAAGGATAATTCATACACTGTTCTTACAGCTGGAATATTGCTGAGTGGGGCGTTAAGAAACAAACAAACTAACACGTAGACATTGTAAACTGCCAGCATGGATGGCGTTGAAGCCCGTTAACGATGATGGTGTGGTCAAGCTGGGCGACGTCGCTGATGGACCTGATCACCAACTAAACCGAGTCTGGATTGTCTGGTCCATGCTCGATTATTTATAGACCACCGTCATATAGCTGGAATATTGCTGAGTGCGGCATAAAACAACAAACAAACAAACTCTTACCACAAGCATAGTCGCCTATTACGGCAAGCATTGGTTGCCCTAGACCTATTCTAACCCGGATCTTCACGGGCCTCAACATTATGACGTCACGTTGCTATTGGCCGTGAAGATCCGGGGTAGAATAGGTCTTCGGCAACCCAAGCCTGTCATAAAAGGCGACTAACGGGATCGGGTGGTCAGGCTCGCTGTCTTGGTTGATGCTTGTCATCGATTCCAATTGCGGAGATCGTTGCTCATGACGTCAATCATTGGATTGTCTGCTCGAGACTCGATTATTTACAGACCGCCGTCATTTTGCTGGAATATTGCTGAGTGCGGCGTTAAACAGCAAACAAACACACTTTGCAAGCCTTTGGGGCACTTGACATGAACTAGACCATATTAACTCTCAGTAATTTCACCGATATCCTTGCTCTGCGGGTAGTATTAGATCGAGACGTTTTCTAATCATTGCAGCTACCCCAAGGCCAGACTTCTGCCTCACGTGCTGTGGACCACCCCCCTGCTGTAACTACTGTGGGCTGGAGAAATGTGAGTACATTACATATTAACAATTATTGGACCATTATGATATTAACCGAGGCCATTGTTTTATTACATAATATAAAAAAACAAGAATATTTCAGTTTTAGTTTTTAATAATTGGTGCTGCATCACATCAAGTTTTCCGTTACGCGCTCGCTGATTGGCTGAAATTATTTCTTTCCTTTAAGTTCTTAAGAAAGCCATGTGACTAGGGCTGGGACGGATAACTCGAGTACTCGAGTCGGGTGGGTACTGAGTAGGACCCGGGTACCCACAGGACTACCCGGACCCGTGGTTAGTCACATGATATATATTGTTTAATAGCAACAAATATCCAGAACTCCATGGTTACACAATAAGTGACAAATGTTCATATTTCTTTCCGACTGTGCACACATTCCTTCTGACTCTGCACACATTCCTTCTGACTTTATATGTTTGCATAAAGATAAAACTGCAGTCAACTTCAGTGTATGCATGACCAGATGATTTTATACCTGTATCTAAATACATTTTGACAGGAGTGCGGTCAAACGTTTCCAAATCGGATATTTTGTACCTATCTCTTGAGACCCAGGTAGGGTCGGGTAATAGGGGGATGGGTACCCGGGTTGTAAAACTGGACTCGTCCAAGCCCTATATGTGACACTTTCCCAACCAATGAAAATATAAATCTAATTTCTAAATGTAAATGTAATACGGGCACCGCACTTCGCTGTGAAGAGTGGCGTCCTTGTTTACCTTGGTTCGAAGTCAACATTCGCCCTGGTTTTGATCCTTGGTTTGTCAGCACCATTCGCGTGCCAACGTTTCACCAAATTTCGCGACCCGTAAAGATCCGGGGAAGAATAGGTCTTCAGTGACCCATGCTTGCTGTATAAGGCGACTATGCTCTTCGTAAGAGGCGACTAACGGGATCGCCTTGGTTGATGCATGTCATCGATCGCTGTTGTGTGGATTGAAAAAAAACCGTTTTGTTGTAAATATAAACCCCAAGACTATTTAAACACACGTGTTTGTACCACTGGCCATTGCATCACGCCTTCTGATGTCATCAGAAACATCTAGAGATTTGGCTTGTCCATGTTGTTCAGTACAACGTAAATTACGAATTTCTCGTGATGGGATCATTTACTGCTATTCAACTTTATAAAATCTGACAAGTCTTTCTTTTATTTTGTGCTTAGAAGTGGCATCAATTTACATAACCCGCCAGGTAAAATTAGAATATCGAGTTTTTATCATATTTAGTCAAATTCAATGACAGATCATTTATTTTTGGGAATTCTTCAAACAACCCACCGCCAGGGGCCGTATTTTAAAAATTCGAGATTAATTGTGAATTGAAGGTGTTTTATATATGCTGCTACTTTAAATTATTGCAGACAATATGGCAAATTAAAATTGTTTAGATTTGAAACTTATGCCATGGTACTGTGATTCTGTTTGAACGACTGTCTAAATGCGAGAACCAAGTATATTTTCATATATTCTCATATATTTCTCAAAATATTTTGATGTGTGAAGACTTGCCTTCACGGGATCCGTAATGAGGCTTATATGTCGTCCTCAGCTTTAATTTCTAGAATATGCAAATAAAGGAGAAAAACTATGAGTATAAAGTAGACATCTTTAAAAGTTTTTGTGCGAGGCGACTAACGGGATCGGGTGGTCAGGCTCGCTGACTCGGTTGATGCATGTCATCGAACCCAATTGCATGGACCGATGCTCATGATATCAATCACTAGATTGTCTGGTCCAGACTCGATTATTTACAATATTAAACAACAAACAAAACAAATATATTCTGACATAATTAGGGCCACAAGACAATTGAATGGGGTGTCTTGTATCCCAACATTGAGATGTTTCTATGTTCTTCTATTTGCAGTCCTAGCTATAGCCAAGTAGGCGATGCAGCTGTTGTAATCCCATGAATATCTTTGGATCTTAATGAGGAACACCCGTGGCTGCCAGCACACACTGTTCATTAGTCAACTGTTATCATCAATGCTTTATTTACATTTTGTATTTTAATAAATATACATAAAACCGTCATGTTCCTCATCTTTGTGAGATGTCTTGGAATATGTCTTGTAAGCACATATTGATATAATACATAAAATGTATGTGAGTTGGGTTGAACGCCACTTATTTAGTAATTCATGTTTCATCAAAGCGTGTCAGCTTAATGTGGGAGGAAGACCCGAAGTGATGCAGCTCTCAGACGTTTACCACTTTGGTGAAACTCACGGGCACTGGTATGGTGCTGACAAATACATGCTTGTCATTCCAAGCCAGTATTTCTGATAATTATTCTCTAATATATTATTTAATTATATATAGGGTTAAATGTTCCGTGTTCGTATAGATGAATCAATCTACGCAGGTTCTAATGGATCTGCATCTTAGCGTTTTCGTAATTCATGTACGGTGTTATTCGTTATTGGTACGGACGAAATGGTCATGTCAAGTCGTATGGATGGTTATATATCATCACAAATCCTGTAAGGTGTGAACTTGCAATATTGTAAACCCACACCGTAAGCGTACGGTGACACGCAATCGGCCAAGTCACCGAACCTGCTCCCCTGGCCGCGTCATACCAAAGGAGAGAGATACTTGTTGTTACCCTGCCTGGTGTTCGGTATTAAGGGGCTTAAACAAGGACTGGTCGGCTCGGAGTCAGTATACTGTTTTCTGAGTGGGCTATTCATTTCAAACTGCGGCATGGTATCTAAGAACACTAGTTCTATAAAACCGGCATAAGTTCGGTCTGGTACAAGCAGCCACACGCTAGCGCGCACACACACACACACACACACACACACACACACACACACACACACACACAAACGCGCCCTCGTACGTGCGTGCACAGAACAAGTGCAATAACCTTGAACATGTTGAACGACCATAAACCGCGTTTCACCTTTTTTCACATTTAATGTTGTTTAATCAGCAAGGTTACGTAGGCCATCGGCCCATGTTACAGCAGTCTACAGCAGCCATTATTATAATTGAAATTTACATCAGCAGTTTTGTCCTTGCATAGGCTTATAAATACAAATACCCAAATTTCTTATAATATTAAATTATCACTTGACATCAAGATTGGTTGGTTGGTGTGTTGTTTAATGCCGAACTCAGCAATATTCCAGCTATATGACGGCGGTCTGTAAATAATCGAGTCTGGACCAGACAATCCACGAATCCAGACGAACCTATGATCATGACAACTGGATACGTATACTTGTCGGTGATGCAGGTGACTTTATATGGCACTTATGTATTTGTACAGTGAGATCGACCCGTGAAGATCCGGGGTAGAATAGGTCCTCAGCATCCCATGCTTGCCGTAAAAGGCGACTCTGCGTGTCGTATAAACACGACTAACATGATCGGATGGTCAGGCTCGCTGACTTGGCTGATGCATGTCATCGTATTCAAACTGCGTAGATCGATGCTCATGATGTCAGTGACCGAAATGTCATGTCCAGACTTGATTATTTACAGGCCACCGTCATATAGCTGGAATATTGCGGAGTTCGGCGTTTAACAACCAACCAACCAACAAACAAAACATGTATTTAAGGGTGTTGGGGGGTTACAGAGTATACAAAACATGCCAAGTACTGACGACTGATCAGATTGTTTCCGATAACTTGCACCAACTCATTTGGGCACGACGTCACACAAAAACGACACTGGTCACGCAGCGATTAATACACTGAGGGTCAAAAGAAACTATACCTGTCAGTTGATCTTACCATATATCGGGAAGGTAATTTAAGATACCGACGTTTACTACAATATCTGAAAAACTATTGGACCTACTCCAGTCAAAGTTGGTATGAGATTATTAAACAGTCATACATAACTGGATATTACATTTAAAGACAATCGGTGCATGAATAAAAAATCTGTCTATTTAGCTATCACTATATTTCATCAACAACCAGACCTGTTCGTCACGGGTGGAACGAGCATTCATTGAAACAGCCATCTGCATAATGCTACCCCTGCGTCACGGGGCCATATGATACAGTTGAACCAATCAACTCAACTCGAAAGGGTGCACGAGAATCACGCACACACGAATACGGTGTTAGCGTTGGGCGTCTCAACGTGCGTGATTACCGTGCACCCGGAGTAGGTCCGATAGTTTTTCAGATATTGTAGTAAACGTCGTTACCTTAAATTACCTTCCAGACTATATTTCATTATTAAATGGACATATCTAAAGGTAGCGATATTATATCCAAAACATGAACTGTACTGGCGCTATGTCAGCATTCAAAGAATACTTCGACATGGTTTATTTTACAAATCATTATTTGATTTAAAACACATATAAATGAATATTTTTTCGCATAATACACAATTACTGAAGGGCATCTTCGACATCTAATCTTTGAAAATAAATAGATTTGGATTTGGATTAAAACATTGCAAACATGATAGGGGTCAATTCATTTCTAACCCCATATTTCATTGAACCAAATTATTTTTTACACTTTTGGGTAATTTAAGTATTTCCTTTCTCAGTCAAATTGGCTGAATCATTACTCTATTAGACTAGTTTGATTTTCAGACGCTTTCGTCTATTTTACTGTGCAAGTGACATATTTAGGGACAGGCCCTCTGTTTATTTCCCGTTATTTAACCCAGCCGAGATTATTCACTCATTTGTGTGTAGAGTTAATTAACTCAGCTGTTAACTGGTCGCAGCCTACTCAATTGGCTGTATTCGCAACTTGTCAATATCTTGTCAAATTGTTGTTTCAGCTAGTGTCGATTTATTACTGTTATACAGTTGCTCAGTTAAGCCGCTTGTGTATTTGCTCTGATTTATATAGTGAGTGATCAATGTCAGTATAGATTGGGATTTGGATCCTGAGACCCGTGAAGATCCGGGGTAGAATAGGTCATCAGAAACCCATGCTTGCCGTAAAAGGTGACTATGCTTGTCGTAAAAGGCGACTAACGGGATCGAGTGGTCAGGCTCGCTGACTTGGTTGATACATGTCATCGATCCCAATTGCGTGGATCGATGCTCATGATATCAATCACTGGATTGCCTGGTCCAGACTCGATTATTTACAGACCGCCGTCATATAGCTGGGATACTGCTGAGTGCGGCGTTAAACAACAAACCAACCAACCAATTTGCAACCTTTTGATTGTCATCTATTGATACAATTAGCGGCTAGTAATAAAACTGTGAACCTGTTATCACGTTTTCATTATTACTGTAATCTTGGTCGCTATATAAGTGCAATAATCTTGAACGCGACGTTAAAACCAATTTCACCTCCCCTACTTTAATGTTGCTGAATGACACCCCTGATCACAGCTCCGTGACAGTGCTTGAGCTGGAATATTGCTGAGTGCGGCGTTAAACAACACATGTACACACAGACACTTTACTTTCTCCTCTCTGTGTACTGACACGGTGACAGTTACGGCTATATTTTACCTCCTACTGCGAGTCAGGTTAGCCTGTCAACAAGTTTAACAACGTGCCCCGAAAGAATGTAACTAGGTCAGATGACAACCCGCATGTTCTGAGTTGTATGGAATTTCGGAAGGGACATAGTCGCGTTGTTTACAATTTACCAAAGCGCGAAAACGCGATTTCTTGACCAATTGTTGCTTTGTCTCCCTTTCCTAGAAAAAAATAATATATTGATGAATAGGCGATAATGCTACTAACGGTCAAATGTCGCATTATCGCTTTGCTGCGATGCCGCATGCATTTGGTTAATTTTGTCATATTTTGCTTCCTTTTTTGAAAGTGCGACAATTTACCATTTTGAACAATTGAACAATCTTCACATTCAAATGTAAAAATTCTAGACGCGACAACTCGTCAAAATAACGCGTTGTTGTGCTTCAAATACTACGACGCTATATAAAAAAACTAGACGCGACAACTCGTCAAAATAACGCGTTGTTGCGCTTCAAATACTACGACGCGTCTTCACAATCAAATATAAAAATTATAGACGCGACAACTCGTCAAAATAACGTGTTGTTGCGCTTCAAATACTACGACGCGACAATGTCCCTTCTACGATTCCATAGAGCGGTGTCTCTTGGGCTTGTCTCGACATGGAAACACTCGCTTCATCTAAGTTATTATGTTATGTATTCCCGGATGTTTCCTGCTAACGGCTACAAGCTATTAATGATGAGGCGAAGGTGCGTTCTTCTATTCAAGCAATATGTCCTTGTCATAAACTTGTCAGCTATAAACCTAACCCTTCACTGTCCTTATTAAAGCGAAGATATCACAAACAAATATGAAAAGTATAATATTTATATTGTAATTTCATGACAAAATGAGCCGCAGCTATGCCTAGTTCATAATCAAATCCCTAGTTTCAGCATTTTCATAAGCAGTTGATTTATATTTGTTTGTTTATTTGTTGAATAACACCGCACTCAGCAATGGTCCAGCTGTATGGCAGCGGTCTGTAAATAATCGATTCTGGACAAGACGAACCAGTGATCGACATCAAGAGCAATTGGAATAGGGTGACAAACAGACAGATATTTTATTAAAGTTGTTTGTTTTGTTTGTTTGTTGTTTAACGCCGCACTCAGCAATATTCCAGCTATATGACGGCGGTCTGTAATTCATCGAGTCAGGTCCAGACAATCCAGTGATTGACATCATGAGCATCGATCCACGCAATTGGGATACGATGACATGCATCAACGAAGTCAGGGAGCCTGACCACCTGATCCCGTTAGTCGCCTCTTTTGACAAGCATGGTCCCCTTTTACGGCAAGCATTGGTTTCTGAAGACCTATTCTACCCCGGACCTTCACGGGTCTATTTTATTTAAGTCTCACCTCAGTACAAATCATATAAAAACGATACATATACACACATGAATTTGTACGAAGCCGCTCTATACGGAGTTATGAGTGCTTGAATATCTTTGTATTTACAAGATAAAGAAATATACTAGGTTGAAGTAACTATTATATGTGAATCGTAGATATTAGATATATAAATTTGTTGCAGGTTGCCGTGAAGATGCCGGGGTAGAATATGTCTTCAGCAACCCATGCTTGTCGCAAAAGGCGACTAACGGGATCGGGTGGTCAGGCTCGCTGACTTGGTTGATGCATGTCATCGTTCCCAATTGCGTGGATCGATGCTCATGATATCAATCACTGGATTGTCTGGTCCAGACTAGATTATTTACCGACCGCCGTCATATAGCTGGAATATTGCTGAGTTCGGCGTTAAACAACAAACCAAACAAAACTGTTGCAGGTTCTGGCCGTTATTATCAATAGTGACATTATACATTATACATATGTTGAACATGATAAAACATGTTTCAACCAAGTAAGCGATCCCGTTCGTCGCCACCCGCGACCAGCATGGGTTGCTGAAGATCATCCCCAACACGGATCCTCAACGCCTGGGGCTGTCGTTATAAGCGCTTGCTTTCACTCGCAGGAGTGGAGCAGAGTTGATGATGTGTGGAGTGAGGGCGTATTGAATCTGTTCCTTTCGTTGTTTGGTTTGCTTCAATATCCTGTTCAGAATCAAACTGACGAATACACCGGGGTTTGGCATTGGTTGACTCTCAACCAATCAGAGTTCTTCGTAGTTCTTTATAGAAGAAGCCCGCTGCTATGATATGTGTCAGTGTTTCTCTGACTATCGCAATGGATCGTCTAACGATGCGGCTTGTGTTTGGCCTCGCTGTCGTCACATGCCTTTCCATCACAAATACGGAAGGTGGGTACTATTTTTTCACACTAAAACAGCGATGTGATAAAAAAGTCAAGTAAATGATAACCAGTTGCACTCCTGACCCGTGAACATCGGGGTACAAAATGTCTTCAGCAACCCATGCTTGTCTCTCCCCTTGAAGATCCGGGGTAAAATAGATCTTCAGCAACCCTTGCTTGCCGTGAAAGGCGGCAATGCTTGTAAGAGGCGACTAACGGGATCGGGTGGTCAGGCTCGCTGACTTGGTTGATGCATTTCATCGTATCCCAATTAAAGATCCGGGTTGGAATAGGTCTTAAGCAACCCATGCTTGTTGTAAGAGGCGACTAACTCGATCGGGGTGTCAGGCTCCCTGACTTGGTTGATGCATGTCATCTATCCCAATTGCGTGGATCGATGCTTATGATGTCAATCACTGGGTTGTCTCGTCTAGATTTGATTATTTAAAGACCGCCGTCATATAGCTTGAATATTGCTGAATGCGGAGTTAAACATCAAACAAAACAAAGCATTGCCTTATTTTGGGTAAAAGAAACAAAGAAAATGTTAACCCACTTGTGATGTCATCTATGTCTTCTCCAGGGACCTTCAGATTCAGATGTCCAAGGTTTCGTTGTCTGCAGTGGATCAAATGTGGTAACGGCAATGTCGAGATATGGGGCTGTCCAGTATGCCTGTGTAAACCACCCCCCACAAGTAAGCGTGTACCGTGAATATGTTTACATTAAAACCTTTTGCCCAGTAGTCTAAAACATCTCTCACTAGTTTCCATATTCTGCGTATTATTTCCTGAAACACCAATACCCGTGAACATTCGGGGTAGAGTAGGTCTTCCGCAACCCATGCTTGCCTTAATTGGGATCGATGACGTGCATCAACCAAGTCAGGGAGCCTGACCATCCGATCCCGTTAGTCGCCTCTTACGACAAGCAGGGGTTGCTGAAGACCTATTCTATCCCGGATCTTCATGGGTTGCTGAAGACCGAGGTAAGGCGGCTGTGTGATGGCTGTGTTTGTCATGTCAGTGAGTGGATGTTGGTGACCTTGGCATTTGCGGTTGGCTGGTTAATAGAACGACATAACAGAACTTTTATTGCGTTTCAGGCCGCGTATAACGGCTTTTGAAGTATAATAGGATTGAATAAATTATTAGAACATGACGGTATATATGTATAGGTAGAGTTTAACAAAGTTTAGGTTTTTACAAAGGACTGAAAGGTTTTCATTATAATTGAACAAAAAACACGAAGTTTTCTCAAAACGCTGGCTTTTCTACTGTTATAATTTATAAATGTTGGACTTGTAGATACCGACATGATAATGACATTGTACAATAGTCTGTAGTTATTAAAATAGGTACGTCCCGTGAGGATTCCGGGGTAGAACAGCTCTTCAGCAACCCATGCTTGTCCTAAGATGCGACTAACGGGATCGGGTGGTCAGGCTTGTTGACTTGGTTGACCCATCTCATCGTATCCCTATCGATGAGCATGATGCCAATCACTGGATCGTCTGGTCCAGACTAGATTATTTACAGACCGTCGTCATATAGCTGTAATATTGTTGAGTGAGCCGTTAAACAATAAACTACTTCTACCACAGTGACTATGACAACATACTTATAATCAACAACCACTACGACGACTACTACTACTACTACCACAAAAATTGCTACGAATTAACATCTAGTACTACGACGACTACTGCTACAACTACTATAACTGCCGATACAACTACTGTATGACTGTTTGTAGAGATTCAACATGTCACGTCAGTATGGTTGCACGCAATATCATGACTCACAGGATAAAGGACAGCCAGTGATCGTTATATTTAGAAAGTATCTTGTCATATTCAAATATAACCCTATTAAAAGGAAAAGAAAACCGTGCTGACATTTCGACCTCGCACAAGTATCATTATTCAAAAACACAGACGTGCAGTAAGGTCTGTTGTCATGGGAGATATATGACTACAATGTTGAATTCACAAGAACTTCGATATGACCGCCTTTCTCAACACAGTATTTGTTTGTTTGTTATTTAACGCGCCGCACTCAGCAATATGGAAGCTATATAAATAATCGAGTCTTGATAAGACAATCCTGTGACTGATGTTATGAGCATCGATCCATAGAAGTGGGATGAGGTGAGGTGAAATGGGGTTTAACGTCGCGTCCAATATTATTGCACGTATATAGCGACGTGCATGCACGTGTGTGTGTGTGGCTGCTTGTACTAGTCCGGACTGATGCCGGACAGATACCATGCCGCAGTTTAACATGAATACCCCACTCAGACACAGTATTCTGACTCCGAGCCGACCAGTCCTTGGTTTAGACCCTCAATGCCGAGCGCCAGACAGGGTAACAACAACTACCATCTTTTAACGTCTCTTGGTATGACGCGGCTTGGGATCGAACCCCGGACCTTCCGCTCTACGGGCGGGCGCTCTACCATTAGACCACGGAGGCGGTCCATGCAATTGGGAGACGATGACATGCATCAACCAAGTCCGCGTGCCTGACCACCTGATCCTGTTAGTCGCTTTTTACGACAAGCCTAGTCGCCTTTTACGGCAAGCATGGGTTGCTGAAGACCTATTCCAACCCCGATCTTCACGGGGTCTTAACACAATAACGCTGGTCATAGCTCAACACAATAATGCTTGTGTCATAGCCGGGCGTGGGACACGAATTGACTGAACAACAAATCAGCTCGGAATGCCTTCTGCGTTTCAAAAAGGTAGCGTTTGAATGATTGGAATAGATTTATGGCTGACAATGATGTCTTTCCAATTGCACTTAAAATGGTTTGTCATTCGTGCATTGACCAATAATTTGATTGTATGCCTATGATCCACCTTTTAGTAAAAATGTACAGCAATACCTGGACACTGCGAGCGTACAGAAAGACATGTGTATTGGCATTTAAATTCCCTCCAAAACGAACAAACACACAATATGTAAATGTTTACTTTTAGCCCCAAAGACGCCAGATTTGTGTCTGACCTGTTGTGGCCCCCCGCCATGTTGTAACAACTGCTTACGTCATCCTACTCAGTCGCCCATTGGGTAACTTCTAACGTCGTCCTGGTAAGTCGTCCATGTTGTACAGGCCGTTGTCCTATGGCAGGATTATGGCATTCAATTAATATCATCTTCATTGTGACCCATGCTTGTCGTAAAAGGCGACTCTGCTTGTCGTAAGAGGCGACTAACGGGGTCGGGTTGTCATTGAAGACTGGCGTAAAAAATGCATTTGCAACCACATGATGCATGTCATCGATCCCAATTACGTGGATCGATACTCATGATATCAATCACTGGATTGTCTGGTCCAGACTCGATTATTTATAGACCGCCGTCATAGAGCTGGAATATTGTTGTGTGCGGCGTTAAAAAAACAAATAAACGAGCAATATTCCAGCAGCTTCAGTCACTGGATTTTACATTTCACTACGTTTGACGTACAATCGAGCATATGACTCTTGCTTCAAGGCTGCTATATCATGGTTACAGCATTCAAGGCGTCAATACAAACGCTTCCAAAACTGTTACGGTAGACATATGGAGGATATTGCTAACATTTACGCACCATGGAGAAATATGGAGTCAGATTCAATTCCCTATTTTGGCTTGGACCTTATTGTATGTTTCCGTGTGTTTGTTTTTCAGGTGAACAGTTGACTTACCTGCGTTTGTGAAGTGTGCACCCGATGTGGCAGGAAACACCCATCTTTAAGTGTTGTTGATTTATAAACACATGAACACAGTCGGGATCGTACATATTCAGTACTTACGGTAGAGTCTTCAGCAACCCATGCTTGTCAAAAGAGGCGACTAACGAGATCGGATGGTCAGGCTCGCTGACTTGGTTTGATGCATGTCATCTTATCCCAATCGCGTAGATCGATGATCATGATGTCAATTACTGGATTGTTTGGCCCAGACTCGATTATTTACAGCTGGAATATTGCTGAGTGCGGCGTTTAACAACAAATACACAAACAAACTTAAGGTAGTATTACTTCAATCCTACAGCTAGCCTGACCACCCGATCCCGTTATTCGTAAAAGGCGACTCACGGTATCGGGTTGGCTGACTTGGTTGATGCATGTCATCGTATCCCAGCTGCGTGGTCCAGACTCAATTATTTACAGACCGCCGTCATATAGCTGGAATATTGCTGAGTACGGCGTTAAACAACAAACCAGCCAACCAACCAATCTTACAGATGCCTTCACGCCATCTAGATGAATGTAGGACCATCAACAGAAGAATGTAAAAGTTTTTTGTAAACTGTTCTCTTGTTCGTTTTCTTGTATAAATAAAGTACTGTAGGACTATTTGTTTGTTTGTTTTGTTGAAAGCCGGGTAACAAATGTTCTGTTTTGCTCCGACATGAAGATCATATTGGTCATGTTAGGTTTATGCAGAACAACAGACATCATGCATGACCTTTATGTCTTGTGCACAAGGATGCCAAACACGACATATCTTTGTCAGTTGAATATTATTCCCAGAGGACACTTCACATGAACATGCAAACAAATGCCCACCATTTACCCGCTGCTTGACATCACAGTAGATAATTATGTTATTCGCGAGCTCCATCTTCTCAGAGTGACGTCACAAGGAACCAATCTTCCCGAGGCAAGATAGTTATCTGACTATGAAAGTCCAGTTTCCACCCTTGCCGAAATAGGCTGGTATAATGGAGTTACATTTTGGCTGGACTAACGAGTCTCTGCATAGTCCAATCGAAATCGCGCAACGAAATCGAAAGCCGGTTCGTCAACTTTCGTGCATATTTCGGTCGATTGCAAGATTCGCAAAGCATGTGCACCGCCAACTCGTTGCCAACGGATATTTTCGAAATCTTTTCATGTTTTTAATCAAGGTGCTCACGTGATTTGGTACACCTCACGATGTAAGACCCGTTTTATCACAATATAGATCTTGATTATCGATCAGATCGTCTTGACTGGGCGCCGCCGTGATAGGAGAGGTGGAATCTGATTGGACCATAGGAGAGGCTTAGAATTAAGGGACATAACTGTAATAACCACTGGTGGCGCTACGATCGAGCCCAGGAATTCCAGCCTAATTCGGCAAGGGTGGAAACTGAACTTTTACAGTCAGTTAACTCCCTTGCCTCGGGAAGATGCACTAGCACAGGTATGGTGCTGACAAATACATAGAGATGAACTTGTCATTCCAAGCCAGTATTTCTGATAATTATTCTCTACTTTATTATTTAATTAGGTATAGGGTTAAATGTCCCATGTTCGTATAGATGAATTAATCTTCGCAGGTTCGAATGGAGACTGCCTCTTAGCGTTTTCGTTATTCATGTATGGTTTTATTCGTTATTGGTACGGACGAAATGGTCATGTCAAGTCTGATGGATGGTTATATATCATCACAATTCTTGTAAGGTGAGAACTTGCAATATTGTTATCCCACAGCGCAAACGTGCAGTGACACGCAATCGGCTAAGTCACCGAACCTGCTCCCCTGGTCGCGTCAAACCAAAAGAGAGAGATACTTGTTGTTACCCTGCCTGGCGTTCGGTATTCACAAGGACTGGTCGGCTCGGAGTCAGTATACTGTTTTCTGAGTGGGTTGTTCATGTCAAACTGCGCGCGCACACAGTATAAGTGCAATAACCTTGAACGACGTTAAACCGCATTTC